TCCTTGTTTGGTTTTCCCATTGTATGCCTTCCTCTCCATCACAGACTATATTAACAGGAAAGGCCTGTTGGTAGTGAATGCTGTAATGGAACAATGATTAATAAAGAGTTTCCTCACTCATTTCCTCTAATACTATATCATGATTGTTCAGGAAGCCTGGGACTGAGAAGTGAAGACTGAAGGAGGAAACTCTTAAGCCAGCCTCTCTGCTTATCTGCTGACCCACTTGTTTCAGAGCAATTTGCAGCAAGTGTATAAATCACTAGGTGAACGGCCAGCATCTGCAGATTCTTGAAATAAGGCCATCAGCTAAATTTCCAATTCTTGGCTTTAAAGCAGCAGCTCTCTGATAGTAATTTTCACAGAATTCCAAAAACTTAGTACAGAAAGAAGCAGAGCTGTTGCTTCTGGAGTTCGACTCCCCCACCGAATAATCTCTGTCCCCATGGGGTAGAAGGTCTTAGAATTCTTAGACATTTGCTTAAACAATTATAATTGGGAACATAGTATTTCTTGCAGTCTTATTTTAATTTGTGGTGGTGTCAGTGAAAAACATCTCCTGTGGCCTCCTTTATTTGAACATTTTGGTTCCCTGTTGATGGTACTGTGTGAAGAGGCTATGGAGCCTTGTGGAGGAAGTATGTCACTGGGAGTGGGCTTTGAGAATTTATCACTTCACCCCATCCTTCCCTCCCCCCTTCCTGTGTGTGAGTAAGAATGTGAACAGCCAGCTTCCTGTTCCTGCCACTAGGTCACGCCTTCCCTGCTATGTTGAACTCTATCCTTCTGGAACTGAAAACCCAAATAACTAACCCTCTCTTCCTTAATTGCCTTTGGTCAGAGTTTCATCACAGAAACAGAAAGCAACTAATTCAATCAGTGTATTCCTTGTTTTAAATTGATCTGGGGGTTTAATGTAGTTATCTAAAAGATAGTATTCCTGGAAATTTGACTCCAAAATTAATGATTTCTGAATTTTTTGTTTTTGTTTTGTTTTTTTGTTTTTTTGTTGTCTTTTTTTTTCTTCTTCATTTTATATCCGAGACTTGTACTTTGGATAAACTTTCTGGATTCCCAGGCTCTTAATTTTATGCTTCATGGTCTCTGCAGTACATGGAAAAGAGGCAGCTCATTAAAGCAGAAAGCTCTTGGAATAGGAATGGTAGTCCTAATACTAGGTCTTACACCGCAGAGGGGCATAGGATCTGAGATGAGAATGGTTGTAATGGAATCTGTTCCTTAATCCTTGAACTGTTTGCTGAGGAGGTTTTTGGTTTGTTGTTTTGTTTGTTTGCTTCTTGTTTTGCTATTGTTTTTGTTTATGTTGGTTTGTTTTTTGCTTGTGGGGGAGGAGCTTTTTGGTGGGTTTTTTTTTGTCTGCTTTGTTTTTTTTTTTTTGTTTTTTTTTTTTTGTTCTTTTTTTTTTTTTTGTTCGTTTGTTTGGGTTTGGTTTTGAGATGGGATCTCACTGTGGAATAGCTCTGCTGGTCTCAAATTCAAAGAGATCTGCTTCTTCTGAGTCCTTTCTGATTTGACTGATAATATATTTATATGCACAATAATACTTTACTTGCTTCTCCCACTTTATGAAAGAAAAGAATCTCAATTTCTCTTGGAATGATTTGCTTCAGGACACCTCTCAACAGATGCATTCAGCCTTTAAAGCCTCCCAACTTTTCTTGCCCTGTGTATTTTCTCAATTAGTATGAAGCTTGGCTTGGGGAATCATGTTCGTTCTGTATTCTAGTATGTTGTGAGTTTGGAGTTGTAGAGAGTAGTCTTGACACATCACTCCTTTTAAGGTTTTGCCTTGTGCACCTCTGATGAATGTCAACAGCTTCCATTTTTAAAAGAACAGTTCCTGTGAAGGACCTGAAAAGATGGTTCTATGGGCAAAGTACTTGCTTTGCAAGCCTCACAACCTAATTTCAGAACCTCAGAACTTACATTAAAGCTAGATTCTGGCAAACCCTGAATGTTTCTGACCCAAGATGGCTGGCTGCCTATCCAGCAGTGGCCACAGGGGATCTCCTCGGGCCAGGTCTGCCCAAACAACTGAGTTGTACTAGTCTTTGTGGGCAAGGGGGACAAGCTGGTGACCTATGAGAAAGCACACGCTCCATATTACACCAGCTGTAGGGCAGCTGTCACACAGCACACAGAAGACCATGCTGCAGTTCAAACAGCAAAGGATTTTTTTCTTAAGTTCTTGCTGGGCAACTTTCTAGGTAACTGACTTGACTAGATTGTTTGAAGTACCAGACCAATCAAGTAGACATCTTTCCTCTGTTCCTGACACAGCTGTCAGCACACGAATTTTAAATATTTGTGGCCCTCAAAAGTTGAATACAAGTCAATATATGTGGATGTTCTTTCTTATTTCAAGCTTCATCCTACAAAGGACCAAAATGCAGGAGATGTGAAATAGAATTAGAGGAAAACCTGCCCTCAGAGGATTAGCACATCGACTCCTGGCTGCTCATGAGTGTTGCCGGAAGGAAGGAAGGAAGGAAGGAAAGAAGGAAGGAAAAGAAAGGAAGAAAGAAAGAAAGATGCAGTAGTACATACCTATGGGAAGATGGGAGAGATAGACAGGAGAATTCTTGAGAGGTTATAGATCATCTGTTCACAGCAGTAATGAATAAGGTAGAAAGACTGAGAACCAAGTTCACATTGTCAAGAAGTTCTGAGCAGGACTGGAGAAATGGCTCAGTTGTTAAGAACAGCTGAGTTTGATTCTCAGCATCTTTGTGAGGCAGCTTCCATACATGTATAATATATGCTTCCTCATACATATATACATTTTAAATAAAAAGATAAATCTTTTTAAGCTATAAGCATGGTTATCTTTTCAAAATGTTATAATTCAGTGAATTAATATCTACTTCTTTGCAATATGTTTCAAGTATCATCTTATTAAGAAAGAGTTCAGATAGGGTTTAGTAGTTAAGAGAGTTTACTGCTCTTACACAAGACCTGGGCTTGGGTTCCAGGACCCATATAACTTGGGCTTACAACTGTGTCTGACTCCAGTTCCAATGCCCTCTTGCTTGTATGAGCACACACACATACAAATAAACATTTAAAATAAGAGAATGGATTTTTAAAAAGAGTTGGGATTACTGAATACATATTAATAATATGAGTTGTATGCTTTGAGCTTAAATAAACAGCCAAAGTTTATTTTGACTCCCAGGAGGCACCAAGAGGATAGGTGTACACCACACACACACACACACACACACACACACACTGGTCACTCAGGAAGCCAATGACATTGTTATTAGCATTTGAACACTTAAAGTCTGGAGCTGTAGTCAGTGTTCTTAACTCCAGTGATGTTGTGCTTCTCACAATTTAATTCTATAAAAATTGGCACATATATATTTATTTGAAAAAATATCCAACTAGGCAAAAGTTGTACCCTGCGTATAAGCTATATTTGGCATGGGCCCTTGAGAAATATTTGGAAGGGAAGGGCATGCTTTCTAAGGAGCAGTTTACATTTTTGTTTGGGGCTGACGTTTTGTTGAGACAAGGTTTTCCCATGGCCTCAGACTTACCCTCTTCCATCAGAAAAAATTGTTTTACAGGTGTGTAAACTACTATGCCTGGCTGTTTAGTTTTCAGATTTGCATTGGTCACTTAAAAATATTGATATTAAATGAGGCATGGTGGTGTGTGCACTTAGGAGGCAGAGGCAGGTGGACCTTTGTGAGCGCAATGTCAGTCTGGTCTACATAGAGTTCCAGGCCAGCCAGGGCTACATATTGACTCTGTCTAAAAAAAAAAAAAAAAAAAAAACTCAGTGGCTCAGTGGTTAAGAACATTAGCTGTTTATCTGGAGGACCCGGGTTTGATTTCCACAACCCACATTGTAGCTCACAACTGTCTTAACTCCCAGTTCCAAGGGGATCCAATGTCATCTTCTACCTCCATGGTCACCAGACATATATTCACGTAAAACACCACATACAAATAAAAATAATTCTTAAAAATTACACTAGAATATGTACTCCTTGTAAATAACTAGCCTTACAGTGAAAAAATTTAAATACTGACCTAAAATAATGAGGGGAGGGGTTTTAACATATGCAAATTGTCTGGGTTGAGGGGTCTATAGCTTTCATCAAATTCATATGAGGCAGGAGAGATTACTGCCCTTCCAGATGATCCAGGCTCAATTCCAAGGACCGACATGGCAGCTAACAACCATCTATAATTCTAGTTTCAGGAGATCTGATGCTCTCCTGTGGCCCTTGTGGACATCAGACACACATGGTACACAGAAGTATCCATATACATTAAATAAAAGCAAACAATTATTTGTTAAAATCCTAAAATAATTAAGCACAGTCAGAGGTAAGACCAACTACTCACTCTGTCCTCACCCTATACAGCTTCTGTGTGTGATATATGTGTGTGCATGTGAATGAACATGTGTACTTGTTTATGTGAAAGTTGAGGTTATTTTCTTTGATTATTCTCCACTTTATATTTTGAGACAGTGCTTCTCACTGAACCTAAAGTTTTATCAGTTAGGCTAGGCTGTCTGGACAATGAGCTTTGTCCCCCTGTCACTATGCCCCCTCCCCCAGGCCAGGGTTACAAGCACACACATCTGTGTTCAACTTTTATGTGGGTATTAGGCTATCCAATATCTGATTATTCCCTGTTCCAACATAGAGGTATATGGAAGATTCCAAAGTTAGCCAGGTATATTGTGTATACTCATGAAGCAGAGGCCAGCAGATCTTTGAGTTCAAGGCCAACCTATTCTTCATAGCAAGTCCGAGGCCAACCAGGGCTCAAAAAAAATACACTTTGGTAAGGACTGGGTTAGTTGATTGGCAAAGTGCACTTACTTAATATTCACAAGGCTTTGGATTTGTTATGTACACACACCGCAAAAGCCGCTTTTGTTGTCTTTTCATGAAATTATTTCCTTCTGTGGTTGCTTCAAATGCCTAAGTTGATGGCCTTTGTGCTTTTTCTTTCAGTTTGAGGGAAGGAAGTACTGTGAACATGATTTCCAGATGCTCTTTGCTCCCTGCTGCCACCAGTGTGGTAAGTTTTACTGTTGAGTATAAGTGAAAACTAAGTTTCACAATCATATAAGTCACTGTTGTAGTTTGTCTCTATTGCCATGATAAAACAATCTGACTGAAAGCAACTGAAGGGAGGAAAGGGCTTAATTATTTCATCTTATATTTCCAAGTCACAGTTCGTCACCCAGGAAAGTCAGGGCAGGAACTTGAAGCAGAAACTGTGAAGAAACAACTTGCTGGCTTACCAACAGACTTAAGCTCAGCTACTGTTCTATAATTCACAGTACAGGACCACTTTCCCAGAGAATGGTGTCAGCCATTGTAAGCTGGGCCCTCCTAGATAATTAACAATCAAGATATTCCCTACAGACAGTCCCAGAGACCAATCTGATCTGGGTAATTCTTCAATTGGGATTCCATTCTCACAGGACCCTAGGATGTGTCAAGTTGACTGACAGTTAAAGCTAACTAGGACAGTCATTTAACTCTAGAAAGTGTAATATTTTCTTTAAAATGGTGCTTTTGCCAGCTTGCTGGTGGTCTGACCAGAGAAGAGACAGGGAATATTCCAGTTGAGTAGATAAAGGTGCATGTATGTATGTATGTGTATACACACACACACACACACACACACATATATACATATATACATATATACATACATACATACATACATACATACATACATACATACATACAAACATACTTGGTCCATTTATTGTAGCCACCTCAGTGGTGGCTCAACTAGAACGTTTCTGGTGATTAAGACCCTGAATGCAATGTTTAAAGTGCTTAGTGATGGAAGTCAATGTGAATTATGAGAAAAATGTGGCAGACCAGGCATGATCCCAACACTCTGAAAACAGATATAGGAGGATCTTTGAATTGAGGTCAGCCCAGTCTCTCTACAAGTTTCAGGCCAGCAACTACATGGGGGCTCACAACCATCTATGATGAGATCTTCTGCCCTACAGGGATACATGTAGACAGAACATTGTATATATAGTAAATAAATAAATAAATCTTAACAAAATAAATTAGGCTGGTAGTAGAGACCTATAATCCCAGATACATGAGATGCTGAGGCAGGAGGATCTCTAAGTTTAGGGCAGCCTGAACAACTCAGTTGAGGTCCTGTGTCATAAATTAAAAGGGGAGATTCAGAGGGCTGGAGATGTGATGTAACTTTGGTAAGGCAGTGGCTTAGCATTTGAGGAGCACTAGTCAGTCCCTAGTAAGCCCTCCTTAAACACTTGCCCCTTGGATTTATAGCAAATAAGACCTTTCATCACATTCTTTGTGCTTTACTTTCCCATAGGTGAATTCATCATTGGTCGGGTTATTAAAGCCATGAACAATAGCTGGCATCCTGAGTGCTTTCGATGTGACCTCTGCCAGGAAGTGCTGGCAGACATAGGGTTTGTCAAGAATGCTGGCAGGTAGAACTTTGCCATTCTTGTTGTATGTGGGTAGCCAAAAGGAATGTTCAAGTCTCATGCATTTTCTCTATGGTGTCTGAAGTCCTGCTCTAGGGTGTGAGAACACAGAACTAACCATGCACTGACTTGCTTAGTACCCTGGAAAAGGACCTCAGAGCTGTTCTGCCAGTGAAATGTGGGCAGTGATGGAAGTCCATGCACATCTCTGGGTTTTCAGTAGAACAAATTTTCCCTGCACTTTGAGTCTGGTCTACTAAGCACAAGAGATAGTTTTCTGAAAAATGGTTTATTTCATTTCTATTCAGAAATATGAGAGGTATTTTTCTAATAATTAAAAAGAACTTAAGATTTTAAATTTCCATTTTGGCCCTGTATAGACACCTGTGTCGTCCATGTCATAATCGTGAAAAGGCCAGAGGCCTTGGAAAATACATCTGCCAGAAATGCCATGCCATCATTGATGAACAACCTCTGATCTTCAAGAATGACCCTTATCACCCTGACCACTTCAGCTGTTCCAACTGCGGGTACTACAGTGTTTTCCTTGATGTTGTGAGAAACAGTAGACTTAAAGTGAAGGAACAGTTACCTATATTTCTCTTACTGCAGCAAACAGCTTACCTTGTTTTCTTCAAGCTTTTGTTTTGTTTTGCTTTTTAATTTGGACTCTCTCGCTCGCTTTCTTTCTTCCTTTCTTTCTCTGTCTGTGTGTACCTGTGGTCTCATGTGTGCTAGGCAAATGGTCTGCAAGAAGTGAAACCCTTAATTCTCCAACTTTTAGTGTTAGATCCATAGAAGGACCAAGAGCATTATATAATAGCTGTATACCACAGAAATATCTTTGACAGCTGGTTATTCAATGTAGAATGAGTGAGTTTATAAGTAGATAGGAAGCATAGTAAAAGAACAATTAGCAGACAGCTCAGAAGACAGTGAGCTGGGTGTTGGTGGCACACACCTTTAATCCCAGCACTGGGAAGGCAGAGGCTGGTGGTTCTCTGTAAGTACGAGGCCAGCCTGGTCTACAGACAAGCTCCAAAGCAATACAGAGAAACCCTGTCTCGTAAAACAAAAAACAAAAAACAAAAAAAAAAAAAAAAAAAAAAAAAAAGAAAGAAAGAAAGGAAGGAAGAAGAAGAAGCACAGACAGCATATTATCACCAAATCAGGTACTTAAAGCATCCAGCAGAAATTACTACTAGAGTAACATAATTGAGAGAGGGGGTAGAAGTAGCATCATCAAATTAGGCACTTATAAAAGCCTACAGAAATGAGTAGACTGCTGAAACAGTCATGCTTGAGTTGCTTTTTTCTATGTTGATGTTTTTGTTTGCATGAAGTATGTGTACTATACATGTACCTGATGTCCATGGAAGTCAGGAGGAGGAATTAGATCCTCTGGCTGGAACTAGGAATCAAAATGGTTGTTGCCGGGTGGTGATAGCACATGCCTTTAATCCCAGCTCGGGAGGCAAAGGCAGGCTGATCTCTGTGAGTTCAATGCTAGCCTGGTCTACAGAGTGACTTTTAGGACTGGCTCCATAGCTACTGAGAAACTCTGTCTTGGGGGGGATGAGGGAGAGGAGATGGTTGCTACCTACCATGTGAATGCTGGGATTAAACCCATGTCCTCTGCTACCATAGGCATGCTTATACCTCTGTCTCAACCATGGTAATGTCTGTTGGTAATTGTTCACAGTCCAGCTATTCTCAGGGCTCAATTTTTACAATTTTAGTTGTTTGCTGTCCTTCATCCCTTTTATAGTTTGTAAGGGCCACTCTGCCCCAGAACAGAGTTCACAGCCAACTTTTTAGTAAGTTTAAGTAGCACATGATGGAGCCAGAGAGATGGCTCAATAGTTAAGAGCACTGGCTCTTCCTAGCACCCACATGGCAATATACAACCCTCTGTAACTTCAGTTCCAGTGGATCTAATGTTCTCTTCTGGCTTTGAAGGAACTAGGCACACATGTAATGCACAGACATACATACAAAGTACTATACACATAAAAATATTTAAGGCCCATGATGATTTGCCTGTATAATTTCTTTTCTTATTGTTTTTTGTCCTTTGACAATTTCATGTGAATATATAAAATGTTTTGATGAAAATCACCCCCACTCTCCTCTCTTGTCCTTGTTGTTTTTATAGTCCACTGAGTTTGATTAGGGTTGTTTGCAGTACATGATTGTGAAGTTATAGGACAGCAATAATAACAGGACTGAGTGGCATGTGTCTGACCTCTTCTGTGTCTCACCATTAGTACAAGATGCTGGTAACAACCTGAAACCCCGCCTAGTCTCTTAATTCAGGTTTCTCAGATCACTTTTAATGAAGGAAAAATAGAAGTTATCAGGAATTGTGAAGGATTGTTTTGATTGTATCTTTTAAAGTCTTGTAAAAAAAAATTCTGCTACCTCTGTTGGGTACTTATTCAGCTGTACAATAGTATTCACTTGAATGTCTTTGGAGTGCAGGAAGGAGCTAACGGCTGATGCCCGGGAGCTGAAAGGGGAGCTGTACTGTCTGCCATGTCATGATAAGATGGGGGTCCCTATCTGTGGTGCCTGTCGGAGGCCCATTGAAGGGCGAGTAGTGAATGCCATGGGCAAGCAATGGCACGTGGAGGTAAGTACAGCCTGACCCAGATAGCTAGTACTTTGTTTCTGTGCCCCAGGTATGCTAGCAAGATAAGAACAGTTTAAAGACTAAATATTGGCATTAAAAAAAAAAAAGTTGACTTTTGTCTTAATTTGTTTCTCTATCACTGTGATTTACAAAAACAAAAAGCAGACTAAGCCAGGTGTGGTGGTGCACTCCTTTAATCCAAGCACTTGGGAGGCAGAACCAGGAGGATCTCTATGAGTTCCAGGACAACCAAGACTACATAGAGAGAGACCCTGTCTCTAAAACAAAACAAACAAGTGGCCAAAAGCAACTTGGGTGAAGAAAGGGTTTATTACAGGTTATTTTTCATCGAGAAGTAAAGCCAAGTCAGGAACTCAAGTCAGAAACCTGGATGCAGGAACTGGAGCTGAGACCAAGGAGAAATGCTGCTTATGGCTTACTTCCAGACTCATTGTCAGCTAGCCATCTTTCTTACAAAGTCCAAGTTCATATGCCCAGGGATTGCATCTCCCACAGTGTGCTGGGCCCTCCCACATCAATTAGCAAACAAGAAAATACCCCACAGATTTGTCCATGGGCCAGTCTGATGGAGGCAACTGCTAGTGTTAAGAACTAGTTTATGTCAAGTTAACAAAAAAAACCTAACCATTACAACGTAATAGTAAATAATAAAAATCTAGGTTGTTGTAACATGACAGTATACTTTGTTCTTAAATCCTTCTTGAGGACAGGAGTGTCACATCCAACAACAATTAGTTATTCTCCATAACAAAACTACTGGGATGCCCATCTCCTTTCATATGTCTTAATTAATATTTTGTATTTTTTTAAGATGATTTTTATTGTATGTATGTGAGTGTTTTGCCTGCATGTGGTTCCTGGTGCCTGTGAAGGTCCACAAGGCCATTATCTCCCGGAACTAGAATTAGGGATAGTTATAAGTTGCCATGCTGGTGCTAGAAAACAAACTCAGATCCTAAACCAGAGCTGCAGGTGCTTCCAGTTGCTGAGCAGTTACCCTTCTGGTTTTCGGGACAGGGTTTCTCTGTATAACAGCTCTGGCTGTTCTGGAACTCACTCTGTAGACCAGGCTGCCCTTGAACTCACAGAGATCAGCCTGCCTCTACCTCCCCCGTACTGGGGTTAAAGGTATACGCTGCCAAAACGTGGTGCTAAGCAGTTATCTTAAGGTAACCCATTAGAGCCTCATAGACATCATAATCGTGACCATAAAAGTAGCTGGTCTTGCCAGGTGTGATGACTATGCACACCTTTAATCCCAGCATTCAAGAGGCAGAGGCAGGTGAATATCTGTGAATTCCAGGCCAGCCTAGTTTTTATATGTACAGAACTACATATATAAAATCTACATAGTGAGGTGCTATCACCAAAGGGATGAGAGGAATCTGGTTATTAATCTTACTATCTTTCTAAGAATTGGTTAACTTTGAGGTGTCTTTGTTAGATAAATCAAGTTACAGATCTCACAACAAAATACAGATTATTTTATTTTAATCTATTCAATGTTTTCCAGCATTTTGTTTGTGCCAAATGTGAAAAGCCATTTCTTGGACATCGCCATTATGAGAGGAAGGGCTTGGCCTATTGTGAAACTCACTATAATCAGGTAATAATTGTACTTACTAGGTATTTGATACATGTGACTTCAAAGTCATTAATGTTTCGACTGTAGAGAAAGCTTTTGGAAAATATGCATTGGTCTACAGAGATGTATTTTAAATCTTTGAGTTACTTACTAAATAATATCTATATGTCTGTCTACCTTTTCATTTTATGTGTTTGCCCAAATTTCTGTTCACCCCATATGTTCAGTGCCTGTAGAAGCCAAAAGAAAGGGCATTCTATCCCCTGAGACTGAAGTCAAAAGTGGTTGGGAGCTGCTGCATGGATGCTGGGAATCGAACCTGGGTCCTCTGGAAGAGCAGCCAGTACTGAGACACCTCTGATAGGTTTTTGAAAAAATATTTTTGTTAGCTCTTTGAAAATTTATATAGTGTGTTCACTCCCACCTCATTCTAAGTCCTCCCAGACCCCACCTTCCTATGTCCCCTAGTTACATGTCTTTTTTTTTTTTTTTTTTTTAATAGCACATCTATTCCAGTTTGTGCTCCTATTTACATTTGGTTATGTGGCTATCCACTGGTCCACTTACAGGAGCTACAATCTTAAGAAAGGTTGATTCTCCTTCCCCAAGAAGCCATCAACTATCCTAGCTCCTCAGTTAGGGGTTAGAGCTTTTAACAGTAAGCATTTGATGCAGTCATGTCCTTTTACCTCCAATACATTTCAATGTATATTTCCCTAGAGTACAGAGTTCTTTATATATCAGTAATTTAGTTTATGTTTTATTTTTTAGACATTTACTTATTTATTTAGAGACAGTGTCTCTTTGTATTATAGCAATTGCCTTCCAAGTACTGGTTTGCACCACTGCACACAGCCCAGTAATGTTCTTTTCTTTTGTTTTTTGTTTTTGTTTTTCTACACAGGGTTTCTCTGTAGCTCGAATTCACAAAGATCTTCCTGCCTCCACCTCCCCAGCACAAGGATTAAGGGTGTGCACCACCGCTTCAATAATGTTCTTTATTTATTTTTTATTTTTTTTCTTTTTGGCTTTTTCAAGACAGGGTTTCTCTGTGGCTTTGGAGCCTGTCCTGGAACTAGCTCTTGTAGACCAGGCTGGCCTCCAACTCACAAACATTTGCCTGTCTCTGCCTCCTGAGTGCTGGGGTTAAAGGCGTGCGCCACCAATCCTGGCTTCAATAATGTTCTTTTTTTTTTTTTTTAGATTTATTTATTTATTATACAGTATTCTGTTCAATAATGTTCTTAAAGCACTTTTTTTTTTCCTGCTCTAAGACTGGTATGTAATTCTAATTTTGTTGTATTTCTTTAGCTTCCTCAAATATAGACCATCTCCAATCTCCTTAATAGGTCCTTTTCCCTTGGGCTCCTCCATTCATTTTCCATTACTATTTTGAGATTGTGGGCTCTTGGCTAGAACACTGAGCACTGGTATGTCCTCAGTGCCTCTCCTCTGTGTTTATTGCTGCTCTGTTGGTTCCCATCCAGGCTTGGTGTTGGCTGTATCTGTACTGTGAGTTGCTGTTTCCCTTCCCTTATATCCAACAAATATTACCTGTGAATAGTCACTTTCTGACTGTAAAATGCCCTGCTTCTCATTAGTTTCTCCTTAGGTTTGGTGACATGCAATATTGCTGCCTGCTATGGGTGGAAATAATAATTATCCCTGTTCAGTTGGCCCTCAGCACTCTGCTTTGAACAGCCACCATCCTCTTCTTGGGCATGGGCTTGTTTGTCTATTCATTTCTTATCAGTAAGGACTTAAAAGTTCTTGTACTTTTTTTTAATTAATTATTTTGGTGCTCAAATTGTAACCAGGAAAGATATATTTAAGTGATGAAAAGTGAATGCTTTTCATTTTAACTAATAATTAGTTTTCTCTAGAAAGGATAAATTCTACAACTTAGTTGCCAGCTACTTGTTTTTCAGAGGTAAACAGAAAGGACAGAGATCATATAAATATTTATTAAATGCTTAACTCTAACACACCTTGAGCTTTCACCACTGTTTCTTGTTTTCATTTTCAGCTATTTGGTGATGTTTGTTTCCACTGCAACCGTGTCATAGAAGGTGATGGTAGGTATCTGTGGGTAGATGGGACCACTTTAGCAGAACACTTGGTGAAAGAAGCTGATTCTTGGTGTAGGTTTGATGTGGTCATTATCAGTTATTTGCTCTTGGTATGCTTCTCAAGTGCTCTACAACAGAGAGGTAGGCTAATGAGGCAACATAGCCACTGTGAGCTGTGTTCCAAGTCTCTAGGATTTATTGAATGGACTCACCAGACAGGACAGATTGACAACAACATGAGGAAAGCAGCTGTGTTTGCTAATGTTCACTAGCCAGTCCTGCCAAAAATTTCCTGCCAGAGTTCTAAACAAAACTGTTGACAGCATGTCATGGCTCTCAGCAGATATCGCCTAATCAGGAAGTGCTTTGTGGAAAGCTGCAGAGAGTATCAAGGTTAGTCTGGGAACCATCTTTAGGGCCCTTGCAAATCAACTGAACTTCGGAGACACTTGGAAAGACAAAGGAAGTTACAGTCTTCGTGTCATCTTTGAAAGAAACACAGCTCACATTCAGATAGTCTGGAGTTTAAAGTTTTTTATTTGTCTGAGACAGAGACACAGCAGAGAGCTTGCAGGTCTTCAAGCCTCATCAGAAAAGCTCATCTTAGCCACATGAGTCAGACAGGTTAGCTACTGTCCACAGTGCTAAAAGGAAACAGTGTTGGTGTCTCTGATTTGTAAGTAAAGAAAAATTAAAAGCTAAAATAAGGCAAAATGGGGCTGGGGAGATAGTTCAGAGGATAAACATGAGGACTAGAGTTCTGTCCTTAGGACCTAGTTGGGTGGTGGTGGCACACACCTTTTATCCCAGCACTTGGGAGGCAAAGGCAGGCAGATCTCAGTGGAGTCCGAGAACTGCCTAGTCTACCAATCAAGTTCCAGGACAGCTGGGTCAGTTATACAGACAAATCCTGTCTCAGGAAAGGGGGCAGGAGGGGGGGGGAACCTCTCAAGAAAGAAGGCTTGGTCTCCTCCAGGTACCTGGGAACAGCCTTCTTTGTTATTCAGGTTGAGAACTGAAGCCCTGCTTCCCACAGTGAAATGCTCCCATGTAATTGGCTCTCTTCTTCCCTCCCCCCCCCCCGCCCCCAACAGTGGTCTCTGCCCTCAACAAAGCCTGGTGTGTGAGCTGCTTTGCCTGTTCCACCTGCAATACCAAATTAACACTCAAGTAAGTCCTTGGTCTAGCCTATCATGACTACTGAAGCTAGAAGTTTTCAGATGCCATTTAGAATCTAAAAAGGGAAATGATTGATGCCTGCCTCTTCTTTCTCCTGAGTCCTTCTAAATGTAAATGTTGTTCTTTAATTGTTCCTGTTCTGTCCCTTCTTTGTTCTACTCAAAGGGATAAGTTTGTTGAAATTGATCTAAAGCCAGTCTGCAAATACTGTTATGAGAAAATGCCAGAAGAGTTTAAGAGGCGACTTGCCAAACGGGAGAGAGAAGCAAAGGATAAGGACAAGCAGAGAAAGAGAAAGCCAGTGTGTTTGTAACCGTTCTGTCCCTTCCACGTCATTCTTATTGCTTCTCCTGTGGTCAGTCTTTCAGGGTGCCTTTCCCTTTTGCCTGTCTTTTTGTTCTTTTTTGCATGTTTTTGTGGTTTTCAGAGATTGAAATACTTGTTCTGTGTAGAGTTGACTCTTTCGCCTATAAAACTTAATGAGATTATATGCACATAACCACCTCATCTGTAGGCATAACTAAACTAAATATTTTCCCAATATTTTCTTACCACAAGAGCTGTTTTGTGGGCAAAAGTTTAAATATTCCAGTTTTAGCCAGAAGGCTAAAGGCACACACCTTTAATCCCAGCACTCAGAAGGCAGGGGCAGGAAGATCTCTACGAGTTCAAGGCCAGCTTAGGCTCTCTACAAAGAGAGTTCCAGGACAGCTAAAGCAGTTATATAGAGAAACCCTGACTCAAAAACACAAACAAAAAAATTCTTGCTTTAGACTAACTAGTTCTCTTATTTGAAATTTATATTTGTCTTTTAATTCTTCAACAAAAGGAACAAAATTTGTTTTAAAGTTTTAAAGTTCAAAACACCATGAAGGGAAAAAATAACCATCCTGTCAATAATTTAACAAAATGTCAAAGATTGAAATACATTCCATAAACCAAGAGTAAAAGCTCACTACCATTTAAAGATCACAGAGATAAGTTGTTTTTGCCATACTGTGACAGAAAAGCTGAACTGAGGGCACAGAAGAGGCAGGCATGTGCATACAAGCCTTTTCTCACACCATTTAAACCAAAGTGCCCCTCAAGTATTTGATTTGCCAACTGGCAGTATTTAACATTTTAATTAGTATCAGCATTAGTTTCTTTGTGGAAAGCAGATGGAAAGCCAGACTCATAGCTGTCATCCTAGCATTTGGGAGGCTGAAACAGAAGGATTGTCTTGAGTTCAAGGCCACCCTGAGCTGTATATAATTACAGTAATATAAAAAATAGAAAAAAAATGTATTTTAAAATATGTGAGTAAGAATTATTCTTGTTATTAGTGTTGTTCTTTACAATTACTTAAATGCTGGATGTAATGGCACACACTTTGAATCTAGCACTCAGGAAGCAGAGGCAGGCAGATCTCTGAGTTCAAGACCAGACTGGTCTACATTTAGAGTTCAAAATAACAAAATTATCTCAAAACAAATAGTCCAATTTAATGTGCTTTAAGATACATTAAGATTTGAGCGCATTTTGTAATCATTATCATTCATAAGGGTATACCACTAGGCATGTTCTACAAATGTTTCCTAAGTATAACTTCACAGCAAATGAACAAGTTGTAAAGTTATATACTAACTCAAAGTTACAGGCATTGGAACTCAACACAAAGCCCCTGAAGTTAGCTATGTGAGTGTGCTAGAGATGGAGACCATCTAAGAGTTGTTTGCTCCAGAGCTGTTCATAAGTAGATTGATGCCAAGCTTTAAGTGAAGAATTGTGAATACTTAAGGGTGGCCCATTACCTTAGAATTTAAGAATGATAACCAGCCTTTTTGTCCCAGTGGCTAAAATGGCCTGTTACCATTTAAGCTTTTTTTTTCTTTTTTTAATTAAGGTGATTTTTAAATTAGGAGATAGAAGGAAAATTATTTGTACAGGAAAGATAAAACCATAATTCAAAATACTACATAGTAAGATCCTTTTACCTTCAAAAAGTAAGTCACTCACATTATGTAACCCAGTTCTTTGTTTAAATAAATTTATTGGTGACAGGCATGTTGGTTCACACTTAGATTCCCAGCATTGGGGAGGCTAAGACATGAAAATCACCATGAGTTCTGAGCCAGCATGGACTCCAGCATGAGACTGTCTCAACATACTAGTAGGTTGGAAGCACTGAGAAGAAAGCATTAGCTTGATACTTCAATATATGAACGACTTACTTGAGCTGAATAGACAGTTCAGTGGTTAAGAGTATTTGCTGCTGTTTCAGATCAGAGGATCCAGGTTCAAGTCTTAAGCACACACAGCATCCCACAACCATCTCTAACTCCAGTCGCAGGGATCCAATACTCTCTCTGACCTCCATGAACACCACATAGTGTACAGACATATGTGCAGGCAAAACACTCATACATAATAAATAAATAATAATAAATAGATAAAATTTTATTTGTTTTATCTAAATTATATTTACATTAGATTTCCTGGAACAATTAGTAAGACTTAACAAACATTCCATGTTCTAAATATAGGTGTAAGTGTATTTTGTTAACTGATACCAATCGTTTGTTTTTTTATTTGTTTTTTCAAGACAGGGTTTCTCTGTGTAGCCCTTTCCCTTATGGAACTCTCTTTGTAGACCAGGCTGGCCTTGAACTCACAGAGATTCACCTGCTTTTGCCTCCCAAATGCTAGGGTTAAAAGTGTGTGCCACTGCCCAGTTTACCAATCATTCTTTACATTTGTCATAAGAATTGAGATTAGAATTACAGTTCTTTATTGACATGAATATAGATACTTTATATAGTATGTTATATGCTGTTTTTATATGTAGTTTAGTGAACTTATATCACATTACTGTGTGTGCATGTGCATGCACTTGTATACATTTCCACTAATTTCTTTTTTATATATAATTATCTTTAGGAATAAATTTGTGGAGTTTGACATGAAGCCAGTCTGCAAGAAGTGCTATGAGAAATTTCCATTGGAGCTGAAGAAAAGACTTAAGAAACTGGCTGAGACCTTAGGGAGGAAATAAGTGCTGGTTTGGGTCTTGTTTTGTATGGTTCTCTCTTCTAGCCAATATTGCTTCATTTGATCCACTCTTATCTAAAGGTGTATCAAAGCATTAGTAGTTTTCTTCACATTTTTCTTTTCTGATTTAAAAAGACAAAATGCTTATTCCTATGTAAAATACAGATGAAATCAGAACTTTAGCCTTAGCTAAAGCTATATAGCAAAAAAGAGAAACAGAAAAAGGGGGGGGCATGTTAAAGGGTAATTTTAATTAAGCCCTGTCCTCTAAAACTAAGTTTAACTCTTCAAAATTAAGCACCCTGCTCTGCAAACCAACTCTGGATCCACATGGAAAGAGAATTCACTCCTACAAGTTGACCTCTAACCTCCACAGGTCACCCCAGTCCTAGGCCAGCCATGGCTGCATATTGAAACTTTGTTCCAAAAAAAGAAAAGTGGCTGTGTATGTCATATGGCCTGTGTGCTAATATCTATGCTGCATGCATCACCTAACTTGCCTTGCCTTAGAAAACTGCACCTCCTAATCAGGAATGCTAGATGTTTATATAATACCAAATAAAAATGAATACTTTTACTGAGATGTATAATCAGCTTTTACATTACTCAGATTTTAAAATACTCTAGACTCTGCTTTCTATTTTATAAGAAAATAATCTCTTACTGGAGAAGGAAATAAAGAAGATAAGTAAACTGCCAAAATAATTCCTATGTAGTCTCAGTGTGTTTATCCAATTAGTACTGTAAAAGCAACATTCATATTACTAAGAAGCAAAAACTTTTCAGAATGACTTGAATTTTTGTTAAATTACTATGCTTAGTTTTCTATTTTGTTCTTCTTATGAACTTCTTTCTTCATAAAGTTGCTGTAGCTACTAGAATATCTTTTACATTCTTTAGCCAAACAAACAAACAAAAAATATGCTAGTTACCTTGAAAATACTGCACACTGTGATATTGGAAAAATGAAACATTTAAAAATATATTATACAGTATTGCTTTTAAACTTAATATAAAGTATATAGTATTCAAATAGGATATGAGATGAAATATTATGCAGCTTGGAATGTATCACTTTCAAAAGTGGTTGTGAGCCAAGGATGGCAGCATTGGTCTTTAATATCTGCACTCTGGATACAGAGACAGACAGGTCTCTGAGAGTCCTAGGCTAGCCAAGGCTGCATATTGAAACCTTGTTTCAAAAAAAGTGTCTGTGCATCATATTAACCTGTGTGCTGATATCTGTGCTTCATACATAATCTAACTTGCCTTGCATCCCCTAATCGAGAATTTTGATGTTTATATAATACCAAATAAAAATTCTTTGACTGAGATTTATAAACTTAGAATCATTTCATTTTTAAAAATTCCTTCTCAGGAAGCCAGTGGAGATTAATCCCTGTCTTCTTTGTAGAATGACTCTGATATATGTTCTAGGTTTTTTTCATTTCAAATCTCAAAGTTGGATTTTATCTACTATAAGACAGTAAAAAGATGTAAATGAGACTTTTAGATTGAAAGAGGGTAGTAAGAATATTAACTTTTGGTAAAAATCAGTTCTACTTTATAAAAATTTTTATTCTGAAATATCTGGGCCATTCTTTTTGTATAAACTCAATATGCAAAAGTATGAACATTTAAAAAGATGTTTCTGCTGCTAACATGTTACTTTTTTTTTTTTTTTGTGAGTTATCAAGATGTATATATAGCCAACATTGCTGGCTATAGTGACTCACATAGTAGTCTCGGAACTTGAGAGGCTGAGACAGGAAGGTGGCCATGAGTTGGAGGTCATTCCTAGGTTACAGTGTAAGATGCTGTCCACCAAGATATCCTCACAAGCAGAAACACTATATATTGCTTTGCCATAACGGCTTCTCAGGAGCCTGGAAAAAGCTCAGTCGGTAAAGTACTTGTCACACCAGCCTTAGGACCTGAGTTTGAACCTAGAGGCAAGCAGATCCCTGGACTTGGGTGGACAACCCAAGTTAACTGGTGAGCCCCAAATCCAAGGGGGGGAAGCCTGAGGAGGGACACCCAAGATTGACATCTGGTCTCACATGCACATACACAAATGTACACATTCAGAAATATATACTCATATACACAAAAAAAAAAAAGATATCCCAGGATGCTATTACTCTGCCATTAAAATGTTTTGTAATCATGAATTTTTTAAATAATACTTGGTTATGTATACTATGGGATACATTTCTGTTTTCAGATAACTAACTTGTAACCAGTTATTTTTCAATACTCTTTTGGGATTAAGAAAGTTATAAATGATTAAAAACAATATATGCTTTTGTGTTTGTTTAGTGGTTTAAAATTGTGCCTTTGTCAGCTAATAATGACAAGCAGTGAATACCTTAAAACTTATGAAGTATTAGACAAGTAGAATTTGTAGTCTATGGTCTTGATGCTAAGTTCTTACCAACCTCACTAGAAATAGCAGAAAAACAAGCATTCACATGCTTCCCTCCTACTCTGGCCTGAGCCTGTGCTGACCCATCTCACATGACATTGCATAGTTCCCACTGCCATCTTTGCTCAGTCTTCTTCAGACATGAATATTTCTGAAAGTTTGACTTGTCAATTATATAATACTTCAGCTAGAGATGGCACCTCTCTCTGTGGGGATGTCATTGGAGCCCTTAGTGTGGAAGAAGATGAAGAGGTTTAAGTGGCAAAGACGAAGACGTGGTCTAGTTCCTGTTTGTTGTTGGGTTTCACTGGCTGCTGGTATTTGCCAGTGTTTGAACTTTTAGGGGCAGTCTGAAATAATTCATTGTGCTTATAAAATTTCTAAGTGCCTTTTTTGTCCTTAGTTATCCTGATGTAATGGGGAAAGTGGATACACATAAAATATTTTTTGTGTTATGTTCAAAGCCTGCTGGGCTTTGCCTGCTTTGGGGGTGGGGGAGAGCAGGCATTGAGACAGGGTTTCTCTGTGTAGCTTGGCTGTCCTGGAACTCGCTCTATAAACCAGACTGGCCTCAAACTCACAGAGACCCACCTGCCTCTGCCTCCTGAGTGCTGGAACTTAAGGGCATGCATCAGCCCCTGAAATAGATCACTTTGCCTCATCCATTTGCCAAAGTAGCTGATTCCAAGTTAAGCAAATTTTGACATAGGCTCACAATATTCTTGTGTTTTATTTTAGATTGTAAGCTTAATGGCAGGAAATTATATCAATAATGTGCTTTTTATATAGCAGCCATTGCTGTATAACTTTGGTGCTTAATAAATGTTTGTGATTATTCATAATGTGTTATGTGTTGTTTAGTTTAACCTCTTTTCGAAGACTCAAATATTCAATGTAATATAGTGGAAACATTCATATCTGTGAATAAAAGCCAGGCAGAGGTGGCAAAATGGTCTGGTATTGTGTATAAGACAAGTTTTAGCACCTTTTGTGTTAACTTTGCCTGAGGAGCCATCTCAAATGAGAACCCTTCCACCCATATAGCTTGCTAATGTGATGACTTCACTGGACTGAGTTCTAGAGCATGGGAAAGGCTCTTTACAGGAGTGTAGATAACTCCAAAACAGCTGTATCACAGCAAAGTCAACTTCAGTACTGGGATGGCCTCCCCAAGGCTGCATAAATGGAGCCCCCACCCATCAATTACCTTTCCTCCTATATACTCTAGTAAGTCTCATAACCGTATGTCACTGTGGCAAAATCACATGCACCTAGAGGTATGGTGGCAAGAGGAAATGAGTGGTTTGTGTTTCAGGTGAGGGCCTGTTCCCTTGGGAGGAAACAGTCACTGTCTTGCTTGGAGCCTCTTGGGGATGATCAGCAGCTATGATTAAGATGGTACTTGCTGTTTTACTCCAAGGTTAATATTCCACAATGCCATAGAAGGTATCAGAATAAATGCTAATGTTTTTCAGTCCTGGGGACCTACCCCAGGCTAGCCTTGTTAGATATACCAGTTCATTTCCATGTTGACCAAATGCCTGACAAGAAGCCATTTAAGGGATGAAGAATCTCATCATGAGGAAGTATGAGTCAGCTTGCTCTTGTCTGAGCAGATCAGGAAGTAGAATCCATCTAGGCTATAACCCCTAAGACCCACCCACTGGGGCCCTGTGGACATAGGTGTTACTCTAACCGGAAAGTTCAGTAAGTGCTCTACCACTGAACTAAATCCCTAACTTTTTCATATCCTTTTTTTAAAATTGTTTTATATGATTGAGTGTTTTGCCTGTGTGGCATCATGTGGTTCCTGAAATGGAATTACCATATAATTCTGGAACTGGATGTTTCCATCATATGGCTGCTGGGAACTGAACCCAGGACATCTTGCAGGAACAATAAATGCTCTTAATCACTGAGCTGTTTCTCATGCCCCCCCCCTTAATGTCTTGAAATATGTCTGAATATAAAATCTAGCCACCTGCACCATGCATGGGAAGAGGCTCATAGCCAGGGCATTTCTTTTCTAGTATTCAACCTTTCCTTGGCAAAACTGCTTTAAATTTGCTAAATTTGGGAGATGCCTAGGGCTCTGAGTTGAGCCATGCATTCATTTTCCTCTAAGATAGTGGGACAGAATGCCTCCATGTGACCATTGTAATAAATCAGGCACAATGGCAGGACTGCTGGAAAAGAGAGGCTTCCTAGAAGAGCATGGATGATAAGAGAAATAGGAGCTTGCTAGGGAGGAAGACAGCAGTGGATCTCCCATGCCTTCCATTTACCATCTCCTATACCAGCATCTATCTATCTATCTAGACTCCTAAGCTAGTAAGCTGACTACATACAGTCCAGCTGCCCCCATCATCTCACCACTCCAAAATTCATTATCCAACTGTGGAGAGATAATGAGACATCCTCTGTCCCTGACAGTGCCACCCATTTCTAGGTTGAACAGCTTCCCTGGCAGTCTAGGCAATACAGGGATGATAACCTGCTTTAAAACCGGAAAAGACAGAAGTGAAGTACAATAGACAAGTAGAAGAGACTATGGTGTTTATGCTATTTTTGTTTATTGTTTTGTAATGGGGTTATCTGTATGGTCCAAGCTGACCCTGAATTCCAAGGTTCAAGCAATTCTGTTTACTGCCCAAAACTGGAACTACAAATGCACTGATATACCTTACTCCAAAAAACTGTTTTTGTAATAATACAATGAAACTCAAGTAATAGTTACTAAAAAGCAGAACTTGAAGCCTTGGTAGGGAAGGTTGTCCAGTCAGGAGCATTACTATACCTGGATGAAGGAGCAAGGTTTCAGATGCCTGACAGGAAAGTGCCATGGAATTTGTATTTAACTGCTCAGAATACACACTCTGTAATTAAACAAAATGCTTTGATCAATGTTTGCTAGTTCTTTTATCTTTTCAAAACAACAGAACAAATTAAGGCTCTATACGAGGTCTAGTTACCTCCAAAATGGTACTGATTTAAAATATTTTAGTTAATAATTTGAGAAAGCTATAGCATTGTTAAATGCTAGGGAAATTATTCAGTTTTTTTTTTTTTTTTTTTTTTTTTTTTGTCATTTTGTGTTTTGTTATGTTTGAGACAGGTCTCACTATGTAGTACTGAGTGCTGGGATTAAAAATATGCACCACTATGCTCACCTTAATCAACTTTTAAACAGAATAGTATAACAGATGCTGACTCACTCAAATTTATTTCCTTCTAAAAACACAAATTCCATACACACACAAAACACACACACAGAGAGAGAGTGAGAGAGAGTTGGGAAATCCTTATAATCAATTTAATTAAGCAGGCTCGAAGTAAGTCCTATAAGTACAAAAAACCTTATTTTAAAGATGAGGGTGGGACCAGTGAGATGACTCTGGATAAAGTTGTTTACCACCCAGCATGATGACCTGAGTTTGATCCCTGGGGCTTACATGGTAAAAGGGAAAAACTGGCAACTTTTCCTCTGACCTTCACATAAGCACTGGCATATATATGCAGACACACACGCACACACACACACACACACACACACTTTTACAAATAAATTGTTTGTTTGTTTTTAATGAGTTGTTGGGGCTGGAATGATTACTCCTCTCCCAGAGGATCCAGGTTCAGTTCCCAGCACCCACATAGCAGCTCACAACTGTCTGTAACTCCAGTTCCAGGGAAACTGACACTGTCACACAGACATGCAGGTAGGCAAAACACCAATGCACATAAAAATAAAATAAAAAGAACTCACCTAAGTTTGTTTTTTTTTTCTTTTTTTTTTAATGATCCATCATAATGGGACTCACCTTTAATCTCAGCACTCCAGAGTCAGAAGCAGGGGGATCTCTGAGTTCAAGGCCAGCCCTGTCTAAATGGGGAGTTCCAGGCTAGCCAGACTTACAGAGACCAAACCAAATGTGTGGGTGTGTATGTGTGTGTTTATATATTTATCAAAGTGGTTTTTCAAGTTTTGCCTAAGGACTTTGGACATTGGAGGGACTCTATACAGCTAATGGGTTTTAGATTGCCAAAATAGATTCTGAGCTGTAATGGTTTTGAAGAACTGAAAATCCTAGAGACCATGTTGTATGCAACAGGCCTAGGGCCAAAGCTGAACATAAAGGAACCCCAGACCCCCTAGCCTTCTAGATGCTTGGATCCTGGGGAGTGTTTGACTGCAAAAGAAACTCCCCTGTGGTCTCCAGGCAATTCAATTCTGAAAAACATTGATACAATAGACCACTTGCCATAGCAAGCGATGGAAACCACAAAATGTTGCTTACCATCATCCACCTATGAAAATAATGGATACACAGGTTTACACACCAAAAACTTGACTTTGAAAAATGTCTTGATTGTTCCCCAAATGTCAACCAATCAGGAGCCTACCTGCTCTCCTCCCTTCCCCTCCCGATAATGTAACCCTGCATTTTCCTTTGAAAAATATAATAGACCAAGAGGACACTCCTTCTGGAGGCTGCTCCATCAGCTTGCTAGACAGGGTCCCTCCCTCAGAAGGATAGAGCAATCCATAAACTTTGTGCATTTGCATTGGTGGGTCTGTCCCCCTGGTCTCTTTGGGGACCTTTGTGACCTGGGCACAATGTAAACGCTAGATTTAAACATTTGCCCTCAATGGGAGGTGGTGGCACATGCCTTTATCCCAGCAGTCAGGAGGCAGAGGCCAGCAGATCTCTGTGATTTCTAGGCTAGCCTGGTCTACAAGAGCTAGTTCCAGGACAGCTTCTAAAGCCACAGAAAAACCCTGTCTAGAAAAACAAAACAAACAAAAAACTAACCCTCGAACACTAATGACACAACTTTTGACAAGTATTTCCCCATAGATAAAGCAAAATGAGTTCCTCTCTCAGTGAATACAAGTAAAATTCCATGAGACAGTCACCCGCATTGGAGTGACTCAGCAAACTGCCTCTGCCCAGCTACTGCTGACATAGTGAAATATTATTGGCCCTTAGACCCAACCCTATCTTGACGTTCTCCACCCTCTTTCTCAGTGCTATATTAAGTAACTGCCTGTTACAATAAAACAAGCTCCTTCTTTGGCAAAGCTCACTGTGGTTCTCTCAGATGACTAGGAGGAGGTGTCTGAGTCATCGACCCACTCCATCCTACTCAGCCCCAAGGAGATACAGGCAGGATCAGCTCCTCAATAGCCCTATCTGCCAGAGGACCCACCTGGCAGCTGCTGAGTTGTGTGATAATTTTTATGCCACAAATTTAATGGGTTCGTTTATTCTAATAGTTTTCAATGGAGTCAAAAGTACATTTAGAGGACCAGACATTGTGGCATGTTATTAATCTCAGCATTTAGGAGGCAGAGGCAGGCTGATCTCTGAGAGTTTCAGGCTGGTTTGGTCTACAGAGTGAGTTACAGGTCAACTTGGTTTATAGAGTGAAACCCTATCTCAAAAAAAAAAAAAAAAAAAAAAAAAAGTACATTTAGGGGTTGGAGAGTCCCTACCACCACCCCTCCTGGTGGCTGACAACTGTCCATAAATCCTGGTCCAGAGGATCAGATGCCCTCTTCTGGCCTCTGTGGACACTGCAGACACACAGTTTACAACATAGTCAGGAAAAACACTGCTGCTATATATTAAATAAAAAGAAATAAATCATCAGGTGTACAGAGTGAGTTCCATGACATCCAGGGCTACACAGAGAAACCCTGTCTTAAAAAAAGAAAAGAAATTGTGTTCCTATTGGATGTATGTCACTTTCACATCACCATAAAGTGAATGAGTCTAAGTCTCAAATTCCTACTTTCAGGGCTGGGTGTGGTTGTGCATACGTTTAGCCCCAGTATCAGGGATACAGAGACACACAGATATCTGTAAGTTCAAAACCTGCTTGGTCTACAAATTGAGTTTCAGGACAGCCAGGACCACACAGTGAGAACCATTCTCAAAAACCAAAAAAAAAAAAAAAAACAATATTGCAAAAGGAACTTCAGTGCCTTACAAAAAGCACTGTGTAAATAAAGTGAAGTAAAACATGTCAAAGTCCCTAATTCATGAAGAAATAGGAACTGCTTTTCTTTTGCTCTTCGTGATCAGAATAATCCAAGGCCTTGTGCAGATTATTTAAGCAATCTGCCACCAAGGTACACCACACATCTCAGAAGGATTTTGAATTTCTGGAGAAGGTTGTTTGTTTGTCCTTTGTCCTAATCCTGTTCGATATGTCCAATTTAAATTAATTGTGTCACTCTTTTTTTTTTTTTTTTTTTTTGGTTTTTTTCAAGGCAGGGTTTCTCTGTGGCTTTGGAGGCTGTTCATTGTAGTGCTTCCTTGCCCATAATAAAAGTGAGTGTAGTAAGATAATGTTATCCTCACAGTAACTGGGGAAATTACATGAACTTCTACATGTGACATGCTAAGAACTCAGTGTAGCAAGTGCTTACTTCCTAGCCATGATTATTGTTAGTAACAAATTTCCAAGCCAAACTCATGGTTTCCCTTGTCACCTAGGTTTCATGATTTCCACATCCATCACAGATCTCACAACATGATAGGCAACTAAGGATCTCAGATTCCAATAACAACTCAAGTCATCTTAGCTATCTCGGAATTATGTTTCTCCTTTCTGTTATTCACATCCAGCGTAGTTCTAAAATGTTTTTAAAATGTATTTATTTATATATTAGTGTGTGCTTGAGGGTATGCATGTATACTGTGTGCAGGGGAGATCTGAAAAGAGCATCAGATTCCCTGGAACTGGAGTTCTAGGTAGTTGCGAGTTGCCAGGTAGGTGCTGGAAACCAAACTCAGGTCCTCTTTGACAACAGTGAATGTTCTTAACCACTTAATCTTAACCACTTAACCACTGAATCATTTCTACAGCCCCAACTTTTGTGTGTGCATGTGCATGTGGGCACATGCATTGGTCACTCTGTGTGATTATATTATGTATATACAGGTGCATGAGCCTATCTAGGTTAGTGGAGGTCAGAAGAAGGCATGGGGTCCCTCTGTATCCCTCTCTGCCTTTTCCTTGAGACAGGGTCTCTCCCTGAACCTGGGGCTTGGATTCTATTTGCTAGGCTGGAAGCCAGCAAACCCCAGAGATCTTCCTGTATATCCCCACCCAGCACCAGCTGGGGTTACAGGCATGAGGAAGTATGGGTGCTGAGATCTGAACTCTAGTCTCCACAATTGTATGTACATCAAGTGCTCTTAACTGCTGAATGGTCTCTAAAACATTAAAATAATCTTCAATTTATTATTTGATAATTTCATACTTGCATATAATAATGTGTTTGGATCAAAATCACCCATCTTTCTTTAACCCCCCCCCCCCGATGAAAGATGTCATTCTGTAAATATGTTTCTCATACTGGTTAATGAATAAAGCACTGTTGGCCAATATGAAAGGAAGATAGAAGGGACTAGGAGACAAGGAGGAAAGAGGAAGTAGTAAGGAGGAGTCAAGATGGAGAGACTGGGGAGAGCGGACACTGTGAGACCATGTGGAAATACTTAGATTAATAGAAATGGGTTAATACTTAAGACATAGCTAGCCGATAAGAAACAAGTAACTGGCCAACAGCATTATATCAAATACAGAGTCTCTGTGTGTTATTTGGGGCTGGCACATGGTGGTGGGACCAGCGGTGGGGAAAAACTACTCGTAAACACCCCCACCCCGTTTCTTCTTCCTTTCCCTTTATTTGACTTTTTAATTTTAAACCCTAGAAGTTTAATTATAGTTGCTTGCATGTGGAAGTGTGTGTGCCTGGATCACCAACCAGTGATTAGTTCCACCCATGTAGAAAAATGATTCTCCCATCCCTAGCAGCCATTGACTCTGATTTTTCCTCAGCTAAGACTGGGACCTCATATATCCTACCCCATTCATGTTGGAATGTGGATTGCTTGATCTTGTGCTAGTCTAAAACAATTTGTTATTAATTCTTTTCCTTATAAAGGCAATACTTCATTGTAGAAAATATGGAAAACTTCAAATAAAATTACTCAAAGTATCCAATTAAAATGTTAACATATGTCATATTTTCTAACATAATTAAGGCATTACTATATGTACAAGTGTTACCTGTTAACTTTTTAAGGTTTTATTTATTTTATATATGAGAGCTCTATCTGCATGTACAGAAGAGGGCATCAGATCCCACTATAGATGGTTGTTAACCACCATGTGATTGCTGGGAATTGGACTCAGGACCTCTGGAAGAGCAGGCAGTGTTCTTAACAGCTGAGCCATCTTTCCAGCCCATGGCCTGTTAAAATGGTCCTAGCATTTAAAACATTTTATGCCTTGTTTAAACTAAGATTTTCCAATTCAAAGTCCCAAAGTAAAGTATTTTTAATTAATTATTGTGTGTGTGTTTTGTGTGTGTGTTTGTAGGGTAATTAGTCACACATGTGTGGAGATCAGAACAATTTTGTTCTATCTTTTTTACCCCTTTGCATGAGGTCAAGGGGCTATAAATCAGCTCCTCACATTTGCCTGGCAAGTACCATTACCAGGTTATCTCACCGGCCTCAAAGGAGATATTTTGAAAGTTTAGAAAAGAGTGTCAATGCAAAAACAACAACAACAAAAGCACAGCTGTCATCTTATAGGGAACAAGAGTTTCTTTTGGAGTCATTTTGAGTGACCATGACACAGGAACACAGATTTAGGTTACCCCAAACTCCATCTTCCAATATGGAAGTAGTTTTATAGTTTTACACAACAAAAAAGTCATACATAAAGGCAAGCTTTAAAATACATTCTGGTATATCAGAGAGGTAGTTACACTAAAATTAGTGAAGCTTCTTTTCTATAGGTCCAAGATGGTATCTGATGACATTTTTAGGTTTTTGGGTTGATAGAAACTAGTAATCTGCTAAGTTAATCGAGTCCAAAGGTTTTTAATCTATGTTACAGGATGCTAGTCCAGACACAGAGGTGGACAAGAGGCAGCTCTGTGGTCTAACCTAGCCCATGATACGTGTATGCAAGGGGGGAGGGGCACAGTAAGGAAACTGAAATGGGTGGGAAAGTAAAATTTACTCCCAACAGCCAAGGCTGTCTCTCAGGGAAAGCAGAAAAGGGAGGTGTGGGAATGGGTGTCTGGAGAGGCGGGGGACCATGGAACTGGAGACTAGAGGGAGAGAAGGACCAGGATACTGGCATGGAGGCTTTAAAATGTAAACAAATACTTGTAAGTAGGGACCAAGGGAGCCTGGGGGGGATAGCATAGGTTTTGATATGCCTGTAGGTGCCACAGGCATATGCCAACTGCATAGCTATATGTCCCCTTTTTGCCAGAGGCAAGGGAAATTATTCCTTTTGACTGACAGAAACCTGTTTGGTGAACATGTTTCATAAGATTTCCAGGAATGCTGGCTTTTATCTAACCTTTGAATAGTCCTGGTTGAGCCTGTGTCTAGACTCAATTTTGGAGTCAGTGGGTCTGCCATTTTTGGGGGTGGATGGAGCACCCTTTGGACCTGACAGTAAGGTCACTGTCCTCTAGACCTGCAACATTCTAACCTCTCACCACATCACTGCAGTTTTAATCAGGTCTTTTCAGGAATTCTCTTTTACAGCTCTTTATTCACAACCTTGAGACTATTTCTTCTTCTTCTTCTTCTTCTTCTTCTTCTTCTTCTTCTTCTTCTTCTTCTTCTTCTTCTTCTCATTATTATTATTATCATTATTATTATTATTATTATTATTATTATTATTAATGTTTGTGTGTATCTGAGCATGTGTGTGCTCGGGTGCTACGGAGATGAGAGATTTAGACTCTTAGAACTGGTTATGGGTGGTTGTCAGCAGCCAAATGTAGGTACTGGGAACTGAACTTGGGTCCTTCGGAGGTGCAGCAAGTGCTCCCAACTGCGGAGCTATCTCTCCAGTACAAAGAAATTATTACTTTTAATTTAATTATTACTGCTAATTGTTAAGTCACATAACAGGCCCCCCAAACAGCATTGCTGCTGACAATGTCCTAGATGTCAGGCAGCCCCGATTCTTACCCTGGAAACAGAAACATATTTTACTTATTTAGTTTTTTTGGTTTTTCGAGACAGGGTTTCTTTGTATTGTTTTGGAGCCTGTCCTGGAACTAGCTCTGTAGACCAGGCTGGCCTCAAACTCACAGATATCCACCTGCCTCTGCCTCCTGAGTGCTGGGATTAAAGGTGTGTGTCATCAACGCCTGGCCAGAAACATTTTAAACTCAGCATTCCTCAGAAATCACTTCGGTCTATGCCCCTAACGGTGGTTATCTGGGCAGAGTGCATCTCACCGTGTAATGCTAATATTTCAACCCTGGTTTATCCGAGCATAAAGTCATGGTCCAGTATGAACTATTATTCTACGGAAACCAGAGGCAATGATGAAGTTTGTCTCTTTAAAAGGAAATCAATTTTTAAAATTTGACCAGAGGGAGCACTAAAAAGGTCGGATTCTCAGGGCACTGTCATTTTGGGTTCTCTTTGTGACGTACTACTATTAAAATATATAAAGATCCCCGGGGATGGGGAAAGAGAGTTATTCACAATCGTTTTAAAAAGAAAAAAAAAAGAAAAGTTAACGTGGTCTGAAGGCGGGAGGCAGCAAACAGGCGCATCTGACCGCAGCGTAGCGCACGGTGATGACGCGAGTCGCACGCACCGCCCCATCCGCTCGTGACGGAGCTGCGTCACTGGTGTTCGGTGCTCACCTCCTGGAGACAGCGGCGGCTGTAGGCCCCAGAGTGGCGTCCCACTCCTGAGGAGCCTGGTCGGCGGCGCGATGAGGCGCAGCAAGGCCGAGGTGGAGCGGTACATCGCCTCGGTGCAGGGCTCCGCCCCGTCGCCTCGAGAGGTGAGCGGGTCCAGTCAGGCCGGCTGGCTGAAGTCATGGCTCCCGGCGGCCTGGCCTCCAGCTGGAGTGGAGGCGGCTGCGGGCTGCGTGGCGTGGCGCTGCTGAGCACCGGAGGCGTGGGGACTGCGGCTGCCTGCGTTTCCTTTTCATGGCGGGCCGCGGGCTCACTCGGGCCTCGTTGCCTCAGTCTCGGCGTGGTAGGCCGGCTTGGGGCGCTGTTTGGGGCTCGTCTGGCAGCGGCAGGCGCCTTCGGTCCCGGGCCATGTTTGCCCGGGAGGTTGCCCGGCGTTGGGCTTTACCGTTGTTCGGGTGGCTCCGTGGACATGGGAGCGGACGAACAACCACATTCGTAAGGGCGCGTCAGCACAAATCGCACGGGGAAGCCCTTAATTGGAGTATTCTGCTGCCGTGCCCCACTCCTTACATCCCCTTCCTTCTTGGCTTTTTAAAAAGTTTTTTATTTAAAGGTAGAAGGTCAGGCATTTTAAATTCTTTACAGACAGTAATTGCTATGTCTTAACATTGCTAACGTTTTCTGTGACTTTTTTTTAATTTTGAAATCATTCATGTGTTGTAATTATTGTATATTCTACAAGCGTGTAAGCTGTAATCGGTGAAGTATAGATAGACTATCAATGGAAACGTAATTTTGATTAATATTAACATTTAGGGAAAAGCTTGAAATACACGCTTCAGTTATTTTTTTTTTTTTAATTCTGAAAACAGAGTGTCTAAAAGGATTTTTATGGTCATCCGTTTATACCAAAAGGCATGGATGTACAAGTCCCTTATATAAATGGCATAGTTTTTTTGTTGTTGTTGTTACCTTTAATCTTTTCTCAGATAGTTTGAAAGGATTAGATAATCCAGTCCAATAAAAATAACCCCAGAAAATTAGAATCCCAAGTGATTCTTTAAAAATTTCATGTTTAGTGCTGGGCAGTGGTGGCACACACACACCTTTAGTCCCAGCACTTGGGAGGCAGAGTCTAGCCTGGTCTACAGAGCAAGTTTTAGGACATCAGGGCTGTTACACAGAGAAAACCTTGCCTCAAAACAAAACAAAATTCAAGTTCATGTAATACTGGCATGCCACAAGTATGAAATTTTACAACCAGTTTCCTCTGATGGGTCAAATTCAAAGTTCAAGGGCACAAAAACTGTCAGATAAAAAGTGTCTTCTGGTTTATCAAATGTATTTATATTGATTTGGGTCTTGTCACCAGGAATCTCATATGTTTGAAAATATTTAAAAATCTTTAAAAAAAAACTCAAAAAACAAAAATGGCAAACCCAAAGACATTGAAATCTAGAAATGCCAAGCATTTCAGATAAGGCACACTCAACTAATAGTACCTAATACTGTATAAATAGTTGCTAAATTATGTTAAGAACAGTGACAAGCAAATAGTCTGTTTGTGTTCAGTTTTGATTTTTTTGTTTGTTTGATTGGTTTTTGAGACAGGGTCTGCTTGGTGGCTACAAAGTCATGAAGCCCCTCATGCCTCTGCCTCCCACGTACTGGTGTGCATCACTGAAGGTATACACCATGCCCAGCTACCAATATATTTTTAAAAAATACTTTTTGATGTAAGAGTGGTTGGTTGGATACTGACCAACTTGGAGATCGACATTTGTCATTTTAACTAGTTTCATTCATTGTTCACTTTTGTGGCATTAACATACTGAGTTGTTCAACCAGAACCCTTATTTCCAAGCCTTTTATATTTAAAGTTATGCCAAACAAGTTCTGTAACAGAACCCTTATTTCCCAGCCTTTTATATTTAAAGTTATGCCAAACAAGTTCTGTAACCACCAAGAAATATTGCCACAGGCCCTTCTTTCCTGTGTTCCCAGTGACCTTTATTTTACGAATTTGGATATTCTTAATAGTTCATGTTTTTAGGATATTATATTTGTCCTTTTGTGTCTAGTTCATTTCACTTAGTGTATTTTCAAGATCATCCATGTTGCACCAGGTGTTAAGAGCCATCCCTTTTTAATGGCTGATTAATAGTGTGTATGTATTTTAGGTATGCCACATTTTGCTTATTCACCTACTGTTGATTGACACTTAGGTTGTTTGTATCTTTTGCCCAATACATACAATGCAGCAAAAAATAATGTAAAAAATTTTAATGCCTCTCTTTAATTCCTTTGAATTTACACCAAGAAATAATTATTGGGTTGTATGTTAATTGGTGTTTTCTGAGGAGCCCTCAACCGCCTTTCTATAGTGACTGTACTTTCTTGTATTCCTGCTGTCGATTTATGGGTTTCAGTTCCTTTGTTTTTTTTTTTTTTTTTAAATCAGTGTTTCAAATTTATTATCTTACTGCATTTTACTTTGTGAGCATGAGTGATTGTGTGTGTGTGTGTGTGTTTGTGTGTATGTGTAAGTGCACTTGTGGGCGTCATAGGAAAGTTGGCTAGAATTGGTTCTCTTCTACCATGTGGGGCTTGGGGATGGAATTTAGGTTTTTGAGCTTGAGGGCAAGGTACTTTTTCCCACTGAAGCCATGTTGCCAGTTCTAATTATCTTAAAAATTTTAAACATATTTAATTTTTTTTATTAGTTTATTTAATATTATTTTATGTGCAATGGTGTGAAGGTGTCAGATCTCCTAGAACTGGAGTTACACACTGTTGTGAGCTGCCATGTGCATGCTGGGAATTGAACCCCAGTCCTCTGGAAGAGCAGCCAGTGCTCTTAACTGCTGAGCCATCTCACCAGCCTTCTTTAAAGTTGTGAATGAGTGTTTATCTCTATGTATCGCATGTGTTCCTGTGCCCAAGGAGGTCAGAAGAAAGCATCATCAGAGCCCCTGGCACTGGAGTTACTGATGGTTGTGAGCTGGGAATCAAACCTAGATCCTTTGAAAGAGCAGCCAGAGAGCTATTAACCACTCTCCAGCCCTAGTTATCTTTAATATTATGCTCTTATGGTTTACAAATTTATGTTAGCAATGTATCTCTTCTACTTGTCCTAATGAACTTGCATAAGCACTACCTGTCACACATACACGTTGGTTATATAGCTTTGTACCTTTTTTAAAGAGAGATGACCCAAAAGTTAAGAGCACTGGTTACTTTTTCGTAGGACCCTGGTTTGATTCCCATCACTCAACATGGCAGCTCACCACTGTAACTTGGGGATCTGATGCCTTCTGGATTCTGTGGGCACTGAATGCACATACTGTACAGTCATAAATGCAGGCAGAGCACCCAAACACATAAAATAAATAAATAATAAATAAAGGCTCATACCTTTAATCCCAGCATTTTGGAGGCTGAGCTAGGAGAATCACTGTGAATTCATTTTGTAGCCAGGGCTACAGTAGCATTTCTGGTCAGTTTGTGCTAGAGTGAGAATATAGCTTAAAAAACAAAAAAACAGATTCTGTTACACAGAGAAATTGGGTTACTTTCCAAATGGATGGAGAAAATGATTGGTTATTTAATGTATGGGTTATTTAGTAGGTATTGCTTGGATATTAATAGTTGCTTAATGACTTTTAGAAACAAAGGGTCCAGTGTTTACAAAAATAAGTATTAGATTTCAAAGTAATTTAGAGAAAAAGAATATAGGGATAAAAATTTTATGATCTCAAGTGAGAATGGCCTTTCTTAGCATATAACCACTAAAGAGTAAACAGCAAAGGAAACATTTTTGCTAAAAAAAGAATATCAGTCTTGTTTTTAAATACATTGAACACTGAAACAAATGACAATTGGAAACATTTTGAAATAACCTTAAGTATCAGTGGTGTTAAAGAGTCCTTAAGGAGCCTTGGTGTGTAACTCAGTTCTAAGAATGTTTGTCCAGCATCATGAAGCCCTGGCTTTGGTTGCCAAAAGCAAATAAGATTGGGCATAGTAGCCCACACTTGTGGTTTCAGCATCCAGAAGGTAGAGGCAAAAGGATCAAGGTTTACCCTCACCCCAAAAAATCCTTAAGGATTAATTAATATCATTTTCCTGCTATAAAATTGATAATGATGAGAGTTTACTGAGAATGTATACTTATAAAAGTGGTCTTAACACAAGAGGTGATCCCTCTCTGCATACTAAATTAGCAGAGATTAAAGAAATGAAAAAAACTGAGTTCTTAGACATTCTAATACTAAGTAGAACAAGCGGTTACAAACTTTTTGAAGGAAAATAGGTAATATAAGGAAAAGAGTAAATGTTTACATTTTCTTTAAAACTGTCTTTGAAATTAATCCCAAGGAAGTCATGACTGACTTCAGTATATATTGAATACCTACCACCACCCATGGTTCAGTGGTTGGAATCTAGCAACCAGAGTTGTACCTGAGTGTACCCTATAGTTGAAAGGATAAACACATACAAAACAATAAGAACAGTTAGGACTTTGATCACTGCTATTAAGGAAATAAGCAGAATATTGTGGTAATGAGACCAGGAGACTAGCTCACTGAAACAGTGCTGTGTTCTAGAGGTCTTTTGAAGCCTTCAGCTAGAATGTTCTGATGCTGGCATTCTAATTATCAGAATTTAAGTTCATTAGTTCAGACACCAGATATTTTTAGTTCCCAAATCCCCGTTTTGAAGGATAATTGCTGAGACAGCTTGTCAATAGTAAAGCTAATAGGCCTCACGAGTGTCTGAACCAGTTGTTAGCAATATCTCAAGATAGCTAAAAGATCCATCACAGAAAGAAGAAAAGCACACAGAAGGATTGCCTCCTGCTTCCAAAAAAAGTCTCTATAATAATTGAGTATCCAAAGCCGGGTGTTGGTGGCACATGCCTTTAACCTCAGCACTCAGGAGGCAAGGCAGATGGATCTCTGTGAGTTCAAGACCAGCCTGGTCTACAAGAGCTAGTTATAGGACAGCCTCCAAAGCCACAGAGAAACCTTGTCTCGAAACACCCCCCCCCAAAAAAAAATTGAGTATCCAAAGCCACTGGCAACTAGAGTGTGAGTGTTTTGCCTGCATGTGTATGTGCTATTGTGTGCTTGGTGCTCATGGAGGTCATAAGAGGTGGAGAGCTGCCATGTGGGTGCTATTCTTCACCACTGAGCCATTTATCCACCCCTAGACCATATCTTGTATGAAGCTGTACTCTTGCCTTGGCAGTTTATGGTAGTAAAGATCCAGGATATTAAATAGGTTTATTTGAAGAATTCCAATTTTATTTCAAAGTCAAATGTGGTACATGCCTATAATCCCAGTGCTTGGGAGGCCAGGACAGGTGAATCTTTGAGGCTGTCCTGGTTTTACATATCTTGTACCAGGCCAGCTAAGACTAATCCTGTTTAAAAACAAAACAAAATATCAAATTTTAAAATCTATGTAAAATAGTGATCTTTAAAGAAAGTAGACATAGGTCAAGGAGTGTCCAGAAGCTTAATGGGTCTGAAATGCTTTCCCAAAGAGGCCTCTTACACAGGGTAGGAAAGAAGAGATTTCTAGTTATGTCCCTTTCCCCAGAAAATTTGGCTTCTATTATTACCTGTAAAGTAATGCAGGAGAGCAGTACAAAGCATGCTGGGTAACACATTGCTATGGTGTGCCTAGCTTTTCTGAGAAAGCTTTTTCATTGTGCTGTGTGTGTCTATGTGTCTATGTCTGTCTTGTAGCTCAGGCTGGCATTGAGCATAAGATGGGCTTGAACTCAGGATCCTCTTGCTTCCACTTCCTAAGTTCTTAGGACTACAGGTGTGAACTATTTCACCTGCCTTGAATTGTAACTTCTGATATCTGTTTTAACTATTCTTGAATTTACTTTTTATGAAATTTATAAAATTTGGAACTATTCTTAGGATATGTATATATATGCATGTTCACATTTGAAAAAATTAATATTTAACTTGTTAGGGCATTTTTGTCCTTTGAAAATGTTGTGCAATATTTCAAAATATGAACAGTAAAACCATTTAATTCTTTTTTAGAAGTCAATGAAAGGATTCTACTTTGCAAAATTGTACTATGAAGCTAAAGAATATGATCTTGCTAAAAAGTAAGTGCCAACCTGGAAATAGGTTTTTCTTTTTCATTCTTGTAATAGGAAGAAGTGCTAAAGAATAAAATTGTGGAGCAGGAGATGGCTGCTCTTCCAGAGTTCCTGAGTTCAGTTTCCAGTAACCACATGGTAGCTCACAACCATCTATGATGAGATCTGGTGCCCTCTTCTGGTGTGCAAGCTTACATGCAGGCAGAACACTGTATACATAATAAATAAATCTTAAAAAAAATACATTTGTGTATTCTGGAATAAGTGATTTATGATCTCAGCATTTGTTAGATTGAGACTATAATGAGTATTTCTTACTGGCTTCTGTTTACATTTAGTGCAGAAATTGTCTTATAACACTGTTTCTAAAATTGTCCTTGGGTAGAATGAAAGAGATCATTTCTGTATGTAAATTTCTTCCTGGTTAGATAACCTGGTGCTTCACTTAGCTGGAGAGAAGCAACAAACAGACTTAATGCTGGCCAGGGAATAGCCAACCTAATAGCCCAGTAGTTGCTGTCTTATCAACAAGACAAGAAACTGTCTGGGTCTAATTTCCTTACCCAGAGCTTAGAGGCGGAAATTAAAGGGGAGACAGATTATCAAAAGCAGTAAAGGCTGCAACTGTGGTTTTCTTATGACAATTCTTTAGAGAATCACACTTAGTTATTTGTCTCTGAATTTTAGGTAGGAGCAGGGCCACTGGGTCTATCCCTAGCAGCCTCTTCCCCAGAACGAAAGGGAAGTGATGATACCTTCTGTTGGCTGCACACGGAAGCTATTAACTGTATTCTTGTTAATGTGAGATGCTTCTTCCTTAGTTTTGGTCTTTGGTCTATTTCTCTCACATTGTTAATGAACCCAGAAGATAACTTACTTTTGTGCATAGAAATTAGGGGCTGGTGAGATTTCCTGGTTCGTACAAGTGCTTGCTACCAGCCTGATGACCTGAGCTGGAACCCTGAAACCCCATACATTAGAAGGAGAGAACTATCTACTGCAAACTGTCCTCTGAATTCCATGTATGCACCACAGTGTACACATTGCCTCCCAAATTATGGGTGGAAAAAAGAAAAGAATTAGATCTATTTGGTTAATTAAACAATTTTTCTTCTCTTCAAATGTAGCTCATTATAGTACTTGGAGATTATTTTCTTACTTAAAAAGTAATATATTCTCTTGGTTTGGGAAACTTTTTTAGTGTTTTACATTCTCACTTTAAATTTTTTATTGCAGTTTGTAGATTATGATCATTTGCTTATTTTTATGTGAAACTCTTTGGTGCTAAATGTGATCAGGAAGAAAAAAACAGTTTATGCATTTATTTATTTTGGTAGCAGAAGAAAAATGTAGCACTTTCTAGTGAAATGAGGGTCTGGGAAGATGATGACCTTAGTGGTTAAAGGTACTCTGCTCTTGTAGAGGACAAGTAAATACATCTTGAGTGAAATAATAAAATGCGATTAGTTTGTATGATTGTTAGCTACTTTGCAATGAATATTTTTGGACTTCATGTTAAGTAACCATGGTAGCCAGTAATTGAATTACAATAGAATAATTGGATGGGTTCTTGATTTAGGGTGCACTCTTGTCAGTATGTAAGTATAGTTGTAAGTTTAATGACTGAAGATTATTTTTGTATTTTAAAACTTGTTTAATATACTATTTTTATATTTTAAAACAGATACATATCTGCATATATCAATGTGCAAGAGAGAGACCCTAAAGCCCACAGATTTTTGGGTCTTCTTTATGAAGTTGAAGAAAATACTGACAAAGCTGTTGAATGTTATAAGGTAATTATAAGATTAAAATGCAGCCTGTGGGTGGTGTGGTGGTGAATGCCTTTAATCCCAGCACTTGTGAGGTAGAGGCAAGTGCATCTCTATGAGTTTTAGGCCAGCCTGATCTACAGAGCGAGTTCAGGACAGCCAAGATACACAGAGAAATCCTATCTCAAAAAACAAAACAAGCAAACAAAAAAGTACAGCTTATGTGAGGCTGGAACAGGGCTCAGCAGGGAAGAGCATGGGTTGTTTGTTCTTCCAGAGGAACTGGGTTATATTCTCAGCACCCATGTGGTGGCTCACAGCCATTTGTAGTTGTATTTCCAAGGGATCTGATGTCCTCTTCTGGCCTCCCTGGACACCAGGTACACACATGGTACACAGACATACATGTAGGCCAAGACCTCTACATACTTTAAAAAAAAAAAGGTGTAACCTTTGCACAGCCTTACAGGTGATGCCCATAGTATATAATAAATAATTCATATTTAATTTTATCAGTGTATGAGAATAAGCATTAAAACTATTAAGTGGCTTAGCTTGGAACATACTTAAATTTTTTTGAATATATAAAACATAAAATTTAAGTGTAGGCTCGGGAGATGGCCCAGCTGGTAAAGGTGCTTGAGCCTGACCACCTGAGGTTGATTCCTGCAACTTATAAGGCGCAAAGAGGGAGCTGTCCTATGACTTCAACTGGTATGCTATGGCACAGGATCACCTACACCCCTGGAAACAAATAAAAATATAACTTAAGGAAAACACGAAAATGGTCAGAGAGAATGATGTCGTGCGTTTTTATAAAAAATTTATGAAAGCAATGCAAAATTTATTGTATATTGTTTTTGTTTTTTGTGGGCATTTTATATAGTTTTGGGTGTCCTAGAACTTACTCTGTAGAACTCATACTCCCAGAGGTCCTCCAGCCTCTACCTACTTTGTGCTGGAATTAAAGGTATCTGATATCACACCTGCTCCACAAAAAATATTGGTGCTTTAACATCTTTAAAATAGCATCATTTAGGAATAGAATTTTAAAAATTGTACAGGTGGCTCAAGTTAAGCATGCTAACTACTCTTGTACTGAGTTTGGTTCTCAGCACCCACATGGAACAGTTCATAACTGCTTGTAATTCAATTCTAGGGGATCTGACACACTCTTTTGTGGCCTCCTTGAGTATCTGCATTCATGTGCATATGTATGTGCACACATGTATAATTAAAATTTTTTTTTAATCTTTGAAAAATAAGAATAATATATGATAATTTTTAGATGATTGTATATACTTATACCTCTGTACAATTTGTAATTTCTTTTTGCTATTTTATTTTCTGATATTAGCGTTCAGTGGAATTAAACCCAACACAAAAAGATCTTGTGTTAAAGATTGCAGAATTGCTTTGTAAAAACGATGTAACCGATGGAAGAGCAAAGTACTGGGTTGAAAGAGCAGCCAAACTTTTCCCAGGAAGTCCTGCTGTTTATAAGCTCAAGGTAAAGTCACAACCTAAGCAGCATACGAAAGGAGAAAACTAGGATATAATCATTTTTAGTGTTTTGAAGTATAAATACGTAATGGCAAACTTGACAGAAGAGCATGTTCATACTTTCTTTAAAAATCTTTAAATAAAAAGAATAATTCCTTTAAAACTTTTCTGCGTGTTGTCTGACTAGGCAGTGTAATAATTTACAGATGATATCTCAGTTATACTTCTGGAATAATATTTTACAGTTCATTTTTTATACAGTGTAGTTGGTATGGTAGATTGTATTATTTTGTGATCAGTGGAGGTGTAAGGTGTGTTTTGTGTATGTGGGTGTGTGCGTGTATGTAGGTAAGGTGTAAATGAAGCTCTGGCCTAAAATTTTGCTTTATTAGGTAATTATCTACAGCTTCCCAGCACTTGGGAAGCAGAGGAATGTAGATCTCTGTGATTCCAAGTCCAGCCTGCTGTAAAATAGCAACTTTCAAGGCAGCCAAGGCTATGTAATGAAACCCTGTCTCAAAAATAACAAAGAAATGTTTTTTCTTTTGTTGCTTTTTCGAGACTGGATTTCTCTGGAAGCCTGTCCTGGAACTAGCTTTTTAGACTAGGCTGGCCTCGAACTCACAGAGGTTTGCCTACCTCTGTCTCCCCCAGTGCTGGAATTAAAGGTGTACACCACCAATGCCTGTCAAGAAATGTGTTCTAAAAACTGGAAGTGTGAGGTTTTCAAACAGAAAATAAGACAGATTATTCAGAATAATTACTAAAAAGTTTAGGAATTTCATAGTTACTTTGTGTGGTTTGTTTGAGGTAAGTCTCTAGTTCAGGGACTGTAAGGGAGCAATACCACATCCAGTTTTGACTGTTACATTTGTTTGTCTTTGACAGTCTTGTTTAAAATCATAGTCCTCCAGCATACTAGAATTAAAAGTGTACCACTTGTTATTCTTTAATGAGAAACCCTTTTGTAGAAAATATTTCATATATACAGATAGATGCATACATTGTAAAAGATGATATAATTTTAGATGGTTCCTTCTAATGCTATTACACATTTGTTTTTGTTTTTGTTTGTTTTTTGCTTTTTCCACCCTACCTTCCCCAGACAGAATTTCTCTCTGTAGATCTGGCTGTCCTGTCACTCATTTTGTAGACCAGGCTTGCCTCAGACTCAGAGATCCTTCTGCCTCTGCCTCCCTTGTGCTGGAATTAAAAGTGTGCACCACTATGCCTGGGTTATACATTTTTTTTTTTTTTTTAGAAGTTTTAACACTTATTTTTGAAAGAGATACCATGTTTCTTTAAAAGAAAAAATACAACTTTTAAAAAAAATTTAGTATTTCTCATACATTCAAAAACTAAGTTTTTGGAAATGATTCAGAAGGATAGAGATTGGTGGGGGAGGTAAGGAAATTAGAAATTGCTTTTGGAGGGTTTTCGTGTTTGCAAGGCAAAGGTAGAAGGTGAGTATGTGGGTAAAGTAAAATAGAGTTTTTATATCAGGAGAGCTTCAGTTTCATCAGTGAAGGGTAAGACAAGGTCAAAGGTTGAAGGGAAATTTGATCTTTTTAGGGAGTATACATTTATTAGACGTAAAATAGTACTTCATTCCAAGTAATAATAGTTTGAGGTATGAGATCATGAAAGTCAAATCAGCCTGAATTTGAAATTTCCTAAACTCCAGTATATCCTATCTCCAGTTGTTCATGTGTCAGCATAGAGAAGATTGCATAGGGATTGTCATAGAGGGAATTAGGTGAAGGAATTTCTGCAAACAAGCAGGAGTCAAGAGTATTAAGAATTACTGCATTTTGGCTTAATGTAGAAAAAAGTAAATCCATGTGTTGTGGATAATTAAATCTTGGTAATATAAGTGTGCCCAAAGAGCTGTTCATAGTGGTGACGTATAGAGTGATTTGAGCCTCCAGTGAACTGGAAGAACACATGTGTCAATGACAAATGTCTAGTTTTGGACATGTATGAGATGACTAAAGAACTGAGTGACTGAGCTACTACCTTTTTGGTGGTATAGTTCATTTACTAATTACAGTTATAGTTGTTAGGGATGAAAAGGTTACTCCCTTTAGAATTACAAAAAGTTTGGGAGAACATGTGATTTAGAGGTAATAGTGGAGAGTGAAGAAACAATAAATTCCATGTGTGTATAGACTACAGGAGGAAGCTGTTATGCAGAGCTTATGACATGATAACACTCATTGTTCATTTACTATCAAGAGGAGAAGCGGTGTTGAGAAGATTATGAGGATAGCAGAATAGAGAGATATTGGGCTTAAAAGTGATTGAGTCATTCTGTGAGATACATATAGAACATGCATGTAAGGATCATAGTGGAAGGATCTATTGGGTAGGCTGGATCTTTTGGTTGTGATAGGAATACAGGGATGTAAAATAGTCTTAATAATAGTTTCTGAGGTGAATATGGACAATCACAGCTCCTGTAGTAGCTGAATGCTACTTTGCACATGTCATAGTCATAGTCAAAGGACTATGAACCAATGGCTTATTTAAAGTTGTATGGATGTTACTCAACATTTAATGACTTTTTCTCCCAAATAGGAACAGCTTTTAGATTGTAAAGGTGAAGATGGATGGAATAAACTTTTTGACTTGATTCAGTCGGAACTTTATGTAAGACCTGAAGATGTTCATGTGAATATCCGACTAGTAGAGCTTTATCGTTCAAATAAAAGATTGAAGGATGCTGTGGCCCACTGCCATGAGGCAGAAAGGAACATGGCTTTACGTTCAAGTTTAGAATGGAATTCATGTGTTGTACAGACTCTTAAGGTAGGTGAAAGCTATTTCCATTTCTAGGTGGATAGTTACTATACATTTCTTCATACTTGTGTTCTCCAACATTTAAATTTCTTTCATCGATATAGAACAACTATAAAATGAAATTTTTGCCAAGTGTATTTGGTGTATTTTTTTTTTTTTTTTTTTTTTTTTTTTTTTTTTTTTGGGGGGTAAGGCTAGCGTAAAAATAGTCATTTTTATACAGTTATAAAAATGGGCCAAGAAGTTTGTAGGCATACAATGCTCAGGATTTCAAATTCTATTAATGTTTTGTAACTTACTGTGTTTTTCTTAAAAAAAAAAAAAAAAAATAGGAATATTTGGAGTCCCTGCAGTGTTCGGATTCTGATAAAAGTACTTGGAGAGCAACCAATAAAGACTTACTTCTAGCCTATGCTAACCTAATGCTTCTTACGCTTGCCACCAGAGATGTGCAGGAAAGTAGAGAACTACTGGAAAGGTATGTTAATGTTGAGAGTGTGAATATGTACATTAACACAGCCAAATGACAGGTTTTCTTTTTTTGCAATAATTGGTGCAGGTTTCTTTACAACATTGGCATTCCTCTAATTTACACATGTTCTGGCAATAAAGTACTTGGAGGAATATTACTTTCATGGGCATGTTATATAATTTTTAGAGTTTTTTTTTTTTTTTTTTTTTTTTGGTAATTTTAAGATTACATTCTCTTATATATGTAGTGTCACATGCCATAGTGCAGGTGTGGAGGTCAGATGATAACTTATAGAAGTCTGCCCTTCCATTTTTGTGGGTCCCGGGGGGGGGGGGATGAACTCATTAGGCTTGGCTATAAATGTATAAATGCCTTTACCAAACTCTGACTTGTATTGTCCTCCCTAGAAATTTGTTACAGTAGCTCTGTTAAAATTAACCTTCTAGCTTAATATTCCATTTTGGCATGCTTAATAGTTTGACATTAAAATGGATGTTCTGGCATATCACTTTTTTGTTTGTTTGTTTTTGGAAACATGGTTTCCCTGTGTAGCTTTGGAGCTTGACCTGGTACTCTCTCTGTAGACCAGGGTGGCCTCGAACTCACAGAGATCCTCCTGCTCTGCCTCCCCAAGTGCTGGGACTACAGGCATGCACCATCACCGCCTGGCCACATTTTATTTTTAATGTGGTAGTTTTGAGTAAAAACCATATAACAAAGTTATTTGTTGTTCAGTGTCCAGGTTCAGATTTGCTAGTATATGCACTTAGCATCACCACTATTTCAGAAAACATTGTTTTGACTTAGAAACAAAGTAATTCAAATGTGATGAATAAACTTTTTTCTTTTTGTTGATTTTTCAAGACGGGTTTTTCTCTGTGTAACAGCCCTGACTGTCCTGGAACTCACTCTGTAGACCAGGCTGACCTTGAACTTACAGAGCTCCACCTGCCTCTGTTGGGATTAAAGATGTGTGCCACTAATGCCTGCCTCTTTTTATTTTCTTAACTAAATTTTATATTATAAAAACATCACTTAGATTTGTATAAGGATAAGGTATGATAGGAGTTTATGGGCTAGGTATAGATCACTGCTTGACTTTGAAAGTAGAAGATTAACTAGGTGGTGGTGGTGCATGTAGAGGAGGGAGGCAGAGGCAGGCAGATTTCTTGAGTTTGAGGGCACCCTATACTACAGGGCAAGTTCCAGGATGGTCAGGGCTACACAGAGAAACCCTTATCTTAAAAAGCCAAAACAAAAAGTAAAAGATTATTGGATCTTTGTGTGTTGGGAGGCAGAAGCAGGAGGATTTATAGGTTTGAGGCCAGGCTGGTCTACAGAGTGAATTCCAGGACATCCAGGAAACCCTGTCTTGAAAAGCCAAAACAAAAAACAAAACCAAAAGCCAACCAAACCACAACAAAACAAAGTCAAGGGTTGTTGAAAAATGCTTAGTTCATGAAAACAAATAAGCTCATAACAATAACATTATTTATAAAAAAACAATAGCATTATTTATAAAAAACAAAAGAGTTTCTGTGTTTTGAGACGGGGTTTCTCTGTGTAACAGCGGTGCGGTGGCTGTTCCTGGAACTCCCTTGTAGACCAGGCTGGCCTCAAACTCACAGAGATCCACTTGCCTCTGCCTCCTGAGTGCTGGGATTACAGGCATGAGCCACCACTACCCAGCAAAACAAGAGTTTCTTAAATAGCAAAGCTTGAGAATGAGGCTTGTTTACACTTTTGAAACATCTGTCTTATTTGAGCACAAGCAGATTCTCAACTATGTCACTGTATATTGTTTCATATGAAGTCTCCCAAAAAATTCATTTATATATGTTTTAGAAAATGAGTATAAAGGGCAAAATATTTTTTATTTTTTAGTATTACTATAAAAATAGGTTTAAGCTCAGGGATCCCCCTAAGAGGTCTTTGAGAACCTATAGAAATCCTCAGACCTTATTTGCTTGAAAATCTGATGCTCTATTTCTTATGATAAACTGCTTTAGAGTAATCCTTCACACAGTGGTAGGCTTGTAGAGATTGATCATTAGATTTGAATACAAAATAAAAATTTTTGAACTGTTCCTGGCATCATTTGCTATTAAATATTCACATTTTATCAATAATCTTAATTTCATTTATGTCTTTTTTGGTCATGATATTCTGGAGTAGGATATTATAGAGTGTACTTAATGTTGAAGTATTGTAACTGCTAGGTGAAAATTCCTACTAGTGCTTCTGTGAAGAGTAATAGAGTGTGTGAATGTGGAAGATGAAGTTTAAAATAAACCTTAGTAATTTTGTATTGAATTTAATTATGAAACTGATTAGTCACAGTGTGGTCGAGTACCTGTTCACTCTTTTCTTCTTACAGTTTTGATAGTGCTCTTCTGTCTGTGAAATCTTCTGTGGGTGGAAATGATGAGCTGTCAGCTACTTTCCTAGAAATGAAAGGACATTTCTATATGCATGTTGGCTCTCTGCTTTTGAAGATGGGTCAGCACAGTGACATCCAATGGCGAGCTCTCTCAGAGCTTGCTGCATTTTGCTATCTCATAGCATTTCAGGTAAGCCTTTTCAAGTTTTAGGTACATTTGCCATTTCAGGAAGACTACTATATAATGTTTCTCATAGAGGTATGTCACAGTATATAATAAAAATAGTGAATAAGCATTGTGTTAAACTTAAAAGTTGATGAATAACTAACAAGGTGAACATACTGTTTAGGCTGGTGAAGTAGATGTTTTGATGCATTCTTGTGGACAGTCAATGTTAGGTTTATTGATTTGGAGACCTTTTTGAAGAGCTTGATTTATTAGCTTGGCCATATCTGAGAACATAATATTAAGGATGAAATTTTATTTACATTATTATTATTAATGATTTATTTTTATTTCATGTACATTGGTGTTTTGCTTACATTCATGTCTGTATGATGGTATCAGATTCCTTGGAACTAGAGTTATAGGCAATTTAGAGTTAGCATGTGGGTGCTGGGAATTGAATCCATGTCCTCTGGAAGAGCAGCCAGTGCTCATAACTGCTAAATCATCTCTCTAGCCTCTAAAGATGAAATTTTAAATATGGGTTAAACTTGATTCAAAAAGTTATATATGGGCCTGATATCCTCCCCTCCTCCCTCCCACTTTCTCTTCTTTCCCTCCTCTCCTTTACTACCTCCCACTTTCCCTCCCAAGTCTTCCTCCTTTACCCCCTCTCCTTTTCTGTCTTCTTTCCGATCTCCCCACTCTCCATTCTGTCTGACTTTTGACAGGGTCTCTCTCTTTTATCTTTTATTGAAAATATTTTTCATATGGTATGTTCAGATTACAGTTTCCCTTCATGCTTCTCTCAGTTCCTCTCTATATTCATCCCATCTTGATCCACACACTTTCTGTCTTTATTAGAAAACAATAGGCATCTAAGGAATAATAAATAGTAAGAAAACAAGAACAAACAAATTGGAATATGATAAAACCAAATGAAAAAGAGCCAAAGAAAAAGCACAAAAAAATGGGTATAGATGTAGACACCCATTTGCACACTTTCCTTCTCCTTCTCCTCCTACCTCTCCCTCTCTTCCTATCCCCTTTCCCTCTCTCACCCCCTTTTCCTACCTCTCCCCCTCCTTCTCCCTATCTATCTCTCTTTATCTCTCTATCTGCACAAAAGACCTGTAAGGTAGAAAAAAGAAACAAACAAACAACACAACAAAAACCTCCCTGACTTAATATGAGACAAAGAACTTCCAAAGATGCCCTTGAGTTTATTTTGTGCCTATTGCTAGGCATGGGACCTACCCTTAACAGTGGATTGTTTCACTGCATGGTGGCAGCAGTGCACATCCTTAATCCTAGCACTCCAGAGCCAGAGGAAGGCAGATCTCTGTGAGTTTGAGGCCAGCCTGGTATTGAGTGAGTTCCAGGGTGCCCAGAGATACAGAGAGAAACCCTTTGTTGGAATGAGGGGAAAAGTTGTTTGTTTCTTTGGTGAGAGTCTTAGAAGAAATTAAATTTGCAAGTGTCAGTCAGTTGGTGATAGCTTCTGGGTCAGGAATGGAATGTTTGTCTACTCTCAGGTGTATGAGTCCATGTGATGTGGCCCTGTGCATTTTATTTGTTGCAGTCTCTGTGAGTTCATATGTGCACCAGCCCTGTTGTGTCTAGAAGGCCTTGATTTCTTGGTGTCCTCCATCCCCTCTGGCTCTTACACTCTTTCTGCTCCCTCTTCTGCAGAGTTCCTTGAGTTGGGGGTTGGGGGGTAGGAGGAGGTAGGGCGCTGGATGGAGGATGGAGACATGTCTTGCCTTCTAATGTCTTTTACTCTCTACATATTGTCTGACTGTGGGTCTCCATGTTTGTTCCATGTGCTTCAGGAGAAAGCTTCTCTGATATTAGTTGAGCCATGCAAGGATCTATGAGTATAGCAACATGTTGTTAGGAGTCATTTTATTTTGATATTCCTTTAACAGAACAATAGTAGTATTTGTTTTTTCCTAGGTCACTAACCTATTTCATTTCAGTGTTTTGGCTACCCAAGCAGCGCTAGGCATGGATTCCATCCCATGGAGTGTGCCTTAACTCAAATCAGTTATTGGCTGGTTATTCCCACAAGCTCTGTGCCACTACTGGACCAGTGTATCTTGTAGTCAGGTCACTATTGTAAATTGAAGCGTTTGTGGTTGGGTTGGTGTTTACCTTTCTTTGTTGGTAATGTGAAGAATATTTTTCCAGTACCATGAATACTAGCCCATAGGGACGAAGGCACCAGCTCCACTTCTTCATGTTCAATGGGTTGTAGGTGTTTGACAAGATCCTTTATAGTCCTGATTTGCCCATGTATAGCCCAGGCAGGCCTTGAACTCACAGCAGATTCTTCAGCTGTGATGCTGTGATGATGCTACATCATAATAAAATTAATCTTTGTATTGCTTTTTTTTTTAATAGATTACATAAATTTCTTGCTTGTTAGCTGTTTTCCAAATAAGTTTAATCATTAACTGTCTGTTACTTAAAAGTAATGTATAAGGGCAGTGGAGGTACACGCCTTTAATGCCAGCACTTGGGTGGCAGAGGCAGGTGGATTTCTGTGAGTTCGAGACCAGCCTGGTTTATAAGAGCTAGTTCCAGGACAGCCTCCAAAGCCACAGAGAAACCCTATCTTGAAAAAAAAGAAGGTAATATATAGGGAACATCTGACTGGGAATATGTATATCATTGAATTAGATTATTTTTATTTTAAAATTGTCAGATTGCAAGACCAAAGGTTAAATTAATAAAAGGAGAAGCTGGACAAAATCTACTGGAAATGATGGCCCATGATCGACTTAGCCAATCAGGTAACAATAATATTTTAACTGATTAAATCCTAAAATGATAAAAACTTAAAAAAATTGGTACATTTATGTGTGTATATATGAGTTGTGCGTGTACTCATACTGTACATTACTCAGTAGTTGATAATCGCTTATTATGTGGACTCTGGGGATTGAACTTGGGTCCTTTAGCTTGGTGGCAAGTGCCCTTATCAGCTGAGCCATCTTGCCACCAGAAGATCTAACCTTTTATTAGACTCTTTAGGTTAAAGTCTAGTATCAGAGATAGTCTTTCATGATTACTTGCTATTTTTGCCATATAAGATAAAGGTAGTAGGCTTGGTGGGAATTAGGGGGAAAAAAAAAGCCACAACAAAACCATTGTATGTGGTAGGGGGATGAGGACCGAACCTGGGACCTGGTATTTGATAGGTCTACCATGAATTCTATCATGGAGCTAAATCCCCAATCCCCAATGCATTCTTTAAAATTAGAACCTACTTAACTTTGCTTCCCAGTGGAGATAACTTCTCTATCTAGGTGCTAAAGCATCCATCTTGAGTGTTAGCCGAATATCATTTGCTGATCATTTTACCATTGCTTGTAAACACTGCTCTTTAGGGATGGAGTTTTTATTGCCTAAATGGAATTATATAAAATGTAGGGTGTTTTGGTGACTGCATATAGTATAGTATATAGTATGTTCTTCAAGGTCCATCCAAGGTGAAGTTTGTAATAGTTCTTAATCTAAGTAGTGGCTTGAAACAAATTCTTGTGTGAGGGCTCTATCTGCATGTATGCCTTCATGTCAGAAGAGGACAAGAGATCCCATTATAGATGGTTGTGAGCCACCCTGTGGTTGATGGGAATTGAACTCAGGACCCCTGGAAGAGCAACCAGTGCTCTTAACCACTGAGTCTTCTCTTCAGCCCTTGAAACAAATTGTTACTCCAAATTTATGGAATAAAAAATTTCTACCAGTAAAACCTGGAAATAAGAACTTCCTTAAAACTATTTAAAAACAGCAAGAATCTGAAAAGCCAGTGTTAGCCATCATTGTATCAGATCAGAGCATTAAGGCTTGGTCTTGCTCTTGTCTGATGGGGTACTTAAATCCTGTTTTTCTAAAACAAAAATTCCTTTAGCATTTTTATATATTTTGTCTCCCACCCCCTTTTATTTTACTTTATATAGACACAGATATTGTGAAACCTATATCTTATTGTTTTCTATAAAGTACCATTTTTGTTGACCAGCTGTGATTTGGTGGTTGGAAGATGAGGTCTGAGATAATTGTGTTGTTTCCTTCTTGGGTGTTTCAATGAAATGTTTGAGATGTGAGTAAACAAAACTGGTGTTTCATCATATAATGGTGGAAATAATTTGTCTTTCAGGGCACATGTTATTAAATTTAAGTCGTGGCAAGCAAGACTTTCTAAAGGAGGTTGTGGAATCTTTTGCTAATAAAAGTGGCCAGTCTGCTCTCTGTGATGCTCTGTTTTCCAGTCCATCATCCAAGGATAGATCTTTCCTTGGTAATGATGATATTGGAAACCTTAATGGACAAGTACCAGACCCTGATGACTTGGAGAGATATGATACTGGTAAGTTGTATCTTTCAAAGGAAATGCTCTAGGTCATAATCTATTTATACCAGGAGGGTTTTATTATTTTATTGAATTCTTCCCAGGTTTACTTTGATAGATGAAAATTAAAGAGTATGAGTGTAGATGAAACATACTTTTTCTTTGAAATGGCTATATCTCATATGAATTTTCTATTATACTTACATTTTTTTTCTTTGTATTATCCAGTATCCAACTTGTTTATAGTCTTTTTGTTCTATTAATATAATAATACTGAGAACTTTTTATTGAAATAAGGTCTTTTTGGTTTTTGTATTTTATTATTATTATTATTATTATTTTTAATGTTTGTTTTCGAGACAGGGTTTCTCTGTGGTTTTGGAGGCTGTCCTGGAACTAGCTCTTGTAGATCAGGTTGGTCTCGAACTTACAGAGATCCACCTGCCTCTGCCTCCTGGGTGCTGGGATTAAAGGTGTGCACCACTACCACTCGGCATGGATCTTTCTGTTTTATAGCCTTGCTTTGCCTGGCCTAGAATTAGCTATGTAGACAATGATGGCCTCACACTCATGGAGATCCACCTGCCTCTGCTTCTCAAGTGCTGAGATCTTGACCTTAATAACTTAGTTTTAATAAAAGTTCTATGCATTTTCCCAATTGTTTTCTTCCTTGTATTTGTTGCCCTTGTTTTTTTTTTTTTTTTCTATGTGGTGAGATTTAGCTTTATGTTCTAGGATTTTTTAAATTATTTTATTTATTATTATTATTATTATTATTAGTTATCTTTGTCCAACTTAGCCCAGTGGCAACTACCCAGCTGAGGTGAATGCCCATATGGACAGTTGTGCCATAGCCTTCTCTCAGTGTACCCATTCATCATAGATGACATATTTCTGCTGACCTTTTTTAGCATCCTCGTACAACCTGAAGTACTTCATCCTTACAGGTGTGCAGTGATGATCACAATGCGAAGATTGTGCAAAAACTTCATTAATAAATAGTGTATAAAATAGTATATGTTTTAAAATGAATTCCTTGGAGATTCCTAAAACTGAGATAGAAAAGTACCTACTACCTTTGCCTCTTGCAAATTGCTAAAATGCTAGCATTTCTAGAAAACTTGGACTTTCTTTACTTCTAGAAGCCTATAGGCTTTTCAGTAGTAAATTTCTCATAGAAGAAAAAAAGTGTTTTGCTATGCTATGCTCATAAATTAATAGAATGGCATTCCATTGTTACTTAGTGACTCCTTATTGAAAGGAAGATCATTTCAAAATTTTTGTGAGGTAGGCATTATTTACTTGTTCTATCAGATTGATTTTTCAAATTGATTGATGAGTCTTATTTTCTCAGATTACAAAAAAATAAGTTTCTCATTTATACCTTTTCTTATTAAAATTTATAAAGTGTAGCTGGGTGGTGGTGGCACACGCCTTTAACCCCAGCACTCTGGAGGCAGAGGCAGGCAGATCTCTGAGTTCGAGGCCAGCTTGGTCTACAGAGCTAGTTCCAGGACAGGCTCCAAAACAACACAGAGAAACCCTGTCTCCAAAAAAAAAAAAAATAAAGTGTAGCTAATTGTGGGATACTCCTTTAATACCAGAACTCAGGAGGTAGTGTCAAGTGGATCTCTTGAGTTTAAGGTCAAAGAGTGAGTTCCCAGATAGCCAGGGCTATAAAAGAGAAACCTCATCTTGAAAAACCGAAGCAAATCAAACAAACAAAATTTATAAAGTGTGAATGCATTCTATTAAAATGTGAAATTTTGCTATTCTATTTTTCAGTTTTGAAACAAAAGCTAAAGACCCAAAGAAAATGTACTGTACATAGTCAGGTTTTCCTTTTTGTTTCAGGTGCTATTCGGGCACATAATGGTAGTCTTCAGCACCTTACCTGGCTTGGCCTACAATGGAATTCACTTCCTACCTTACCAGCAATTCGAAAATGGCTAAAACAGCTCTTTCATCATTTGCCTCAGGAAACCTCAAGGCTTGAAACAAATGCACCTGAATCAATATGTATTTTAGATCTTGAAGTAAGCAATGTTTATAATTAGTTAAATATTTTGAGTCTTTGTAATTTGTTTTTCTAACTCACTGTTTTTTAAAAATAAATTAGGTATTCTTACTTGGAGTTATATATACCAGCCACTTACAGTTAAAGGAGAAGTGTAATTCTCATCACACTTCCTATCAGCCACTGTGTTTGCCACTTCCTGTCTGCAGACAGCTTTGTACAGAAAGACAGAAATCCTGGTGGGATGCAGTTTGTGCTCTGATTCACAGAAAGGCAGTGTAAGTTGTAAACAATAATAATGCTTTAACTTATGTCCTGGCTTTTACTAGGGGGTTTAATTACATCCTCATGTAATTTAAATATAAATAAATACATTTTATTTATTATGTGACAGCATTTATGTTAAGTATTGAACCGCATTTCTTTAAAGTAGGTCATTCTATAAACTTTTTTAGACCTGGAACATCAGCAAAATTGCGTCTTCTAGTTCAGCGTGAAATAAACACTCTGAGAGGCCAAGAAAAGCATGGCCTTCAGCCTGCTCTACTTGTGCATTGGGCACAGTGTCTTCAGAAAACAGTGAGTTCATTCAAGTGTGTGTGTGTTTTGGTTTTGTTTGTTTTTTTTTAAAGAACACTGGCTTACCCCAGAAGGCAGAGACAGGCAGATCTCTATGAGTTCTCTATGAGTTCAAGGTCAGTCGGTTTACAAACTGAATTCTAGGACAGCCAGGGCTATTATACAGAGGAACCTTGTCTGGAAAAAACAAAAAACAAAAAAAAAAAAAAAAAAAAACAAAAAAAAACAAAGAACATTGTCTTAAACATAATAAAGTTAATGTATTTACACACAAGCAATTAGCAAAATACTGCCTGGTACTTAGTATGTGCTATTAGTGCTATTTATTAGATTAGAAAAGGGGCGGATTTGATTATCTAAAAATGACTGGTTTTGTTTGGGGGGGGGAATGAACTATAGATGGAATGTGATACAGGGTCTCACATAGCCTAGGTTGGCCTTGGTCTTGATATGTGGCCAAGGATGTGCTTGAACTACTAATCAGATTACCTCTGCCTCCCAAGTATCAAGATTATAGTTGTGTGCCACCATGCCCACCTTAAAAATGGCAATTATCAAAAATAGACTGGGCCAACTAATTAGTAGATATACTAGACTTTTTCTTTGGGGTCACCAACAAGCTCCCAAATCAAGGCATTAGTTTTGGATGCTTAGCCTAACAAGCCTCCTTTCTAGTTTGGGAGCGGGGGCGGGGAGAGGGGAAGGGGAGAAGAATTTGAGAAGGGTTTCCCACCTGTCTCTGCCTCCTTAGTGCTGGGATTAAAGGCATATCCTACCACCACCTGACTCTAGCTAGTTCTTTTAACTTAAACTACCCTGTTTCTTTTTACCTTTTCTTTCTGTGCATCTTACTTTCACTGCTTCTTGTGTCTCACTGGCTGGCAACTACCTGGCTTCTGAGCTCCTAGTTTATCCTATGTTCATCCTCCTATTTATTCTTTATGCCTATCAGCCTCATCTATCCTTTTTCTGTCTAGCTGTTGGCTGTTCAGGTCTTTATTAGAACAATTAAGTGCCTTAGACAGTCAAGGTGAAACAAATGCATCATAAAGAAATATTACACATCTTTACATCATTAACAAAGGCAGCAGAAACAAATGTAACACACCTTCACATAGTTAAAGTATTATTCTGCTACATAAACAAATGTAACACATCTTTGCCTAGTTAAAATAATATTCCACAAGTAGAGGCAGTAACTTTTTTTTGATACTCAATTTAATTTTGATTTGAAAGTTTTGTCATTTCTCTAAATTGTTAAATTGTGGGACTTTCTCTTTTAGGGCAGCAGTCTTAATTCTTTTTATGATCAGCGAGAATACATAGGCAGAAGTGTTCATTATTGGAGGAAAGTTTTGCCATTGTTGAAGATGATCAGAAAGAAGACTAGTATTCCTGAACCTGTTGATCCTCTATTCAAACATTTCCATAGTGTGGATATTCAGGTAATAATGAATTAATTGCATGAGTAATTTACATATACATAGATAATAACTAAGCCAATTGCTTTGCTATTTAATGATAGTGTTTCTTTGTTGATCATGTAACTGACAAAATTATGACCATAATGAAATGTTAATTTTGTTTAGATAAGATATAACCTGAAAGTCATTTGGGTTAGTAACTAACAGTTACTAAATGTATTTAGGCATCTGAAATTGGAGACTATGAAGAAGATGCACACATAACATTTGCTATTTTGGATGCTGTTAATGGAAATATAGAAGGTGCCATGACTGCTTTTGAATCTATTAAAAATGTAGTTTCTTATTGGAATCTTGCACTGGTAAGTGATATGGGAATTGAATTGAGTTTTGTTTGTTCCTTTGTTTGCTTTGAAGTCTAATTATATTTTGTGTAGATTTTTCACAGGAAAGCTGAAGACATTGAAAATGATGCTCTGTCTCCTGAAGAACAAGAAGAATGCAAAAATTATCTGAGAAAGACTCGTGACTACCTGATAAAGATTTTAGATGACAGTGATTCAAATATCTCTGTGGTTCAGAAAGTAAGTTATTGGTTATTGTCTGTAGTTTAGTGTTATTTGTAACTGCCCAGGTTTTATATTTTGGTAATTCTTAAATCTTCTGGTATCCCTTACATAAGATGTATCAGAGGCTTGTGTGGTATGAATGTGTGTGAATGCTTCATATACTTTCTTTACCTTAGGTTTGGTATCTCTTTAAAACAAATAAACAAAAAACACTTGGCAGTTGGGGCTGGGAAGATTTTTCTAGAAGTATGAGTGTCCAAGATTGGCCACTAAGTATTCAAGCAAATTTCAGGTGGTCATGACCACCCACATAATAGGCCATGCCTTGAGTAAGCTTGTTGGTTAGACTAGCTGAAGCTCCAGGTTCAGCAAGAAACTATCCTTTGTTATACAAGGTGGAGAAGGATCAAGGGAAATATTTTATATCAATCTCTGGCTTCTATTTGGACATACCCGGCCCTGGGTCTTGACTCAATGTGGCCATGGAGGCCTGCTGCCCTCTCACAGCTGGGGTGGCCTGCTGCCTGTCACAGCTGGTCCTCACCCCCAGCATTCATGCACATGTGAATATGAACAACACACGCACAAACATACAAAACTTTGGTATACAAAACTTTGGTGTCTAGGTACATACCAGTTTCTAAAATAGATAGCAATTTTGTCATTTTGGCATGTAATCAAAATGAATATGGTAAGTGAGAACTAGTTCTTAATAAATTTTGGTGCAGGGAATTACAGTATTTTTTCTTGTTTCCTGTGAGCTAGCTGTTCACACTCATACTGATTTTATGTTTAGCATTCCTTCTGAGTATTTTGTTTGTTAACTTTATTGCTGCTCATAGGGTTTGTATTGTCTGGTACATTTCAGCTAGAATCTATATTTCACTCTATTCAAAATATCTTAAAAGAATCGGTAACTTAAAAGCTTCTTAAGTTCACTTTCATCACGATGACTTACAGAGGTAATAGAGACAGCTTAGACTTTAGATTCTGTAATGCCTTTGTATGTATAACTTAACATTGTATAGAAATACTTGTTAAAGTCGAGTGGTGTTAGTGCACACCTTTAATCCTAGCACTTGGATCTCTGTGAGTTTGAGGTCAGCCTGATATACAGAGTGAGTTCAAAGCTATACAGAGAAACCCTATCTTAAAAAAAAAAAAAAAAAAGAAAGAAAGAAAGAAAGAAAAAACAAAGCTTGTTAAAGTGTCCTGCAGTGCACACATGTAGTCTTCACAAAGGGCTGAGGCAGGACTGAGAATTGAAGGGTACCCTGGGCTACAAGGTGAGATCCTGCCTCAAATAAACAAAGAAGTGAGGAAAATATTAAGAGTTTAATAACATAGACTCCTTTATTTCTTAGTTCTTACTTTGGCATATTTTTGCAAACTAAAGCCTTTTGTTTTTAGTTGCCTGTTCCCCTTGAGTCTGTAAAAGAGATGCTGAACTCAGTTATGCAGGAGCTTGAAGACTATAGTGAAGGAGGTACTCTTTATAAAAATGGTTGCTTGCGAAGTACAGATTCAGACATCAAACATTCTACACCGTCTCCTACCAAATATTCTCTATCACCAAGTAAAAGTTACAAGGCAAGTAGAAAAGAAACAAATCATTGTATTATGATGTTCTTTTCTAAATGTTGTAAACTCTGCTAACGTTATTTGTGTGTATATTTGTATGTTTAGTATTCTCCAAAAACACCACCTCGATGGGCAGAAGATCAAAATTCTTTACTGAAAATGATCTGCCAGCAAGTAGAAGCCATTAAGGTAACCACTTATTTGACTAAATTTAACTCTTATTTATGCTTTGTTTTTTTTTCCTCTCTAATCATTTCCTTACCCCCCTCCCCCAATACACACATACACGGTGTTTCTCTGTGTAGCCTTTGTTGTCCTAGAACTCATTCTGTAGCCCAGGCTTTCCTCTGACTCAGAGATCCCCCTGCCTCTGCCTCCAGAGTGCTGGGATTAAAGGTGTGTGGCACTACTGCCCAGACTTCATCAATTCCCCACCCCCTTCTTTCTAGCCTTGGCTATTCTGAAATGCCTTCTGTAGACCAGGCTGTCCTCAAAGTCATGCCTGCCTCCCAAACTGAGATTAAAGGCGTACGCCACCATTGCCCGGCTCTCTATGTCCAGTTTTTTGTTGTTGTTTTTGTTTTTAACTTTTTTTTTTTGGTTCATTTCCTTACTTACACTTGACCAAAAAAAAAATATGCCTTTACTATACTCAATAGAAATCAATTATATATCTTGCTTTGTGTTACATCTCTCTTGGCTCAACTATATTTTCTAAATTACTTACACGTCTACGTATGAGATGAGTCTTAAGATAAAGCCTTTAAAACATAGTATGATTCCTGTTAACACTATATATGATTGATGTATACTGCTGTGCACTATCATAGCTTTTTCTCTTGATTGATTTCTCAGTGTGGCTGTTGTTAAAAGTATATAAAGTTTATCACTAGGAATTGAAAAATTTCTGAATTTAATTGTTTTTCTGTTCAAATGCCTAATTACAGTATAGCATTTAAGGTGATTTCATTTTAAAATAAGTATAGATCCAATAATTTTTGGGTAAGAGCTAAATTATTTATTTTTTGGTTTTTTTAAACAAACCACAAAAACAACCAATCTTATTAAGTTTAACAGTTTCTCTGATACAAAGAGAAATATCAAAAGAAAACCTACAACATATGCACATAATAGCCTCCCCTCCAATCTACGATAACCTAAGAGAAAAAAGGACAAAGTTTTCTTCAACAGAACATTATCTTCACTTTTAGAAGATGTTTCCATGTCCCATTCCACGTCCTCTTCCTCTTGTAGCCGCTTAGGTCTTCAGGATAGCTCTTTTCCTCGGCCATCTACTGAGTCTTGATTCTTATTTTTCATACTCTTTAGCATGGGTGCATTTTTTTTTAGCATGTCAGGCAAAATTAGAAACTGAATCTTGCTGCCACGTATGTATACTTGCTCCAGCTGTGCCACTCAGCCATCTCTGTAATTTTGGACATCTGGCAGTTCATGTTGTCTTCTGCTTCAATGAGCTTCCTTCAGTATACCTCGCCAGTATAACTGCAGAAATGTAGTAGAGCACTAGTTGGTGAGCCTGGAACACTGGGTACTATACAGAACTCTGAGTTACTGTTATTGAACAATTTGATTTCTCTTAAAAATTATATAATTTATGTTTATTGGTGTTTTGCCTACAAGTATGCCTGTGTGGGGGTTCCAGATCCCCCTGGAACTGGACTTAGAGACAGTTATGAGCTGCCATGTGGGTGCTGGGATTGGACTTGGGTCCTCTGGAAGAACATCCAGTGCTCTCAACTGCTGAGCCATCTCTCCAGCCCCTGATTTCTTACTTTCGTCTGATTTATTTTTTTTTTGTAAAGTTTGAGAATTGTTGAAACCAGTTGTCATCACACTTTTGGTTCTTTAAAAAGTGTGTGTTTGTGTGCGTGCATGCATGTGGGTATATATATGTGACGTGTGTCCATGCAGGTGGGTCCATGTGGAAGCCACAGAGTCTTGAGTTCTTTGTCTCTACCTTTTTTTTATGCTCATTGAATTTGTAGTTCATACTTGGCTAGGTTGGCTAAGTGAGCTCTGGGGAATCACCTGTCTTCACCCTCTGCTACAGTATTTGTTCAGACAAGCAGGCCAAGCCTTTGATGTGGGCACTGGAGTCTGAACTCAGATTTTTATGCCTGTTGCACAGGCACTTACAGACTGAGTCATCTCCCCAGGCTCTTAAATTCTTTTAATATTAACAGTTAGGTTTATATTGTTGATCAAGTTCAGAACCATGAACTGGATAACATTCGTTTCCTGAGTCTTTTATTTGTGGATGTGCAGCATCTAGACAGTTGAGTAGGTAGATGAAGGGGGACTATTTTTAAATTGAAAATAGAAGGAAATATTTAAAACACTTATTTTATTTGGTTGTTTATGTGTTTGAGACATCGATTATAGTATAGTATAGTCTCAAACTTGTAGTTTTCCTGTTCATTTTCCCATATGCTGGGATTACATATGTGAGCTACCACTCCAGATTAAACATTTCTAGAATAAGAAAGCAGATAGTTATACTAGTTTGTTTTGTTTTGTTTGTTTTTTTCCCCTGATCTCATCTTAAATTGGTTAGATGTGTAAGCACGAATTCTAATTGATCTTCATAATACAAACAAGAAGTCAGATGTTAAAGGGAGAAGCTTGAAAGATCAGAGAAGCAAAGCAGCCAGCCACTAGCTCTTACCTCAGACTGGATCCTCAGATTACCAGTTCTGTCTTTCCCTATATCTATCTAATCTATGTCTGTCTATTTGAGTTATATTGTTTACTAATGACATGGTATGACTAAGAATGTACACATGATAAATTTTGAGCAGATACTGTTTTCATTTGCTGTAATTTGTCATTACTTGTAAATTTGTTGTCAATCTCCCATATGGTTAATTATTGAGAAACCGCCATCAGTGTTGACTAGTCCAGATAAGCAGAAGCAGAGAGGCAGAACAGAACAGAACAGAACAGAATGGGGAGAAGACCTGAGAAGCTGAGTAGGTAGCTCAAAGTGCTTGAGGACAGTTATTATCAGAAAAAGAAGTTTATTTGTAGGTCTCAAATTTTTGAGTAGGTAAGGAATAAATTTTATGAAGATTAATGATAGTCAAGTATGAAATAGAAATGGAATGAGATTTAAGGAGTCAGTTCTTTGGGCTAGAGTTGAAGTGAATGATTAGAGCAGACAGATTTTAACAAATTAAGGAGTCATGTTCTCAAGTACCCAGATTCCAGTGGAAAGCATATTCTAAAAGATACTACTAAGTATTTAAATTTAAAATATCTGCTAAGTGTTCGCTGAGACACTTGCACTATATAATTAAATGTTTAACATTCCTTTTTTTGTTTTTCTTTAAATAGAAAGAAATGCAGGAATTGAAGCTAAACAGCAATAACTCTGCATCCCCTCATCGCTGGCCTGCAGAACATTATGGACAAGACCCAGCTCCTGATGGGTATCAGGGCTCACAAACTTTTCACGGGGCTCCGCTAACAGGTAAACTGGTAGCTGGAAAACTTCAGATTCCAATAAAATAGAACCCCTCTTTTTTTTAATGTTTTCCCTTTTCTGTAGTACTGAGACTTAAACTTGGAGCTTTGTGCTTGTTAGATAGGTGTTCTATCTCTGAGCTGTAAATGAGCTCAGTCTCCCCCAACATTTAAATAGGTACTTGTGAATTTAACTTGTCTTATGTTTTGTATATTCCAGTATATGTCTATTTACATGTTTGCCAAAACTCTATATTTAGTATACTGAAATTTTATAAATCCAATCAGAAACAAAACAAATCATACCTAGCTATATATATTAAAGCTTAAGGAATGCTTTAAAATCTTTTTATATATATCATAGCTAAACTGTGAAATGTTCCATAAATTGAAACATGTTGACCAGTATAGTTAGGTGCTAAGAGGTACCTAATAAATTAGAACTTAAACTTCTTGAGTTACTTTGATGGTGTTTCGAGAGACAGTAAGTTAATTTATTTTGATTCTGAGCCTAGCCTTTTTTGACTGAGTCATCTCTCCAGCCCTTATTTTGAAACATGATTATTCACCGGAAAGCCCATGAGTTGTTCTCTTGTTATTTATTATTTATTTTCTGTCCTTCCTGTGTGTATATATGTATGTATGTTCCATACCACATGTGTGGTCAGAAGACAATCTATCTTTATATGTTCTGGAAATGAAAGTCATATTACTAGGTTTGTATGGTAGCCACCTCCACCTGCTAAGCCATGTCATTGGCCATATGCTTATTGTAATATCCTTTTCATGATTATATTAGATGATTTTATGCTTGAAAATCTCAGTAATAGTTTGAGTTCATACTCTGTAACCATGCTATTGTGTGGATTTTCAAGACTTCTTTTAAACTTTAGGTCATCAGATGCATTTTGGTTATTAAATCCTTTGTGACTACAGTATTTACTACTGTTGATGAGTTCTGTGCTTTTACATCCCACTGATCTTAGATGGCCATTTGCTTTTTTCTTGGTTTTGAGTGAGAATCTCTCACTATGTAGCTTTGACTGAAACTCCAGAAATATGCCTGCCTCTGAGTGAGGAGATCAAGTAGCATATGCCTGTTCTAGGATGCTTGTTAAGCACTTGTTCGTGTTGATAATTGCAGTGTTATATTTTTATGCATATAATAGTATTTTTTCCATTTATTGATTGCTTTATGGGTTATCTCAGTATATAGAAATGTAAAGATCAGACTAATTAAAACTTTCTTTGCCTATTTTGTATTTATAATTCTTGTCTAGATATTCTGAACTGTAGAATAGACTTTTAACATTGTTTTCTTCTGTTTTTTGTTTTGTTTTGTTTGTTTGTTTTTAGTTGCAACTACTGGCCCTTCAGTGTATTATAGTCAGTCACCAGCATATAATTCACAGTATCTTCTCAGACCAGCAGCTAATGTTACTCCCACAAAGGTAACAAAGGAAAACTTGTACATTTATAACTATCTACATTTTAAATGTTTAGGCTTCTTTTAAAGAAACTGAAAAGAGAAAGTGGTTCAGTATTGGAAATTATATGACCTTCACAATACAAGCATTTGTTAGTCATCTTATTTTTGTGTTTTAACATTTGGAATACTTTAAATATAGAAGTTCTTGTGTTTTCTGGTTGGAATGGGGCTAGTATATTTCTGCTTTGTTAGGCTGGTGTTTGCCATTCTATTGACTCAAACCAGATATTATTAACATTAATTAAAAGTGAGAACTTAAGGACAGAGAGCTGGGGATGTATTTAGACCCCTCTTCTGCTTATTGTGACCTTGGGCAAGTTATTTTAACATCTTAGGTTATCTATTTTAAAATGAGTGGGTTTTTTTTTTTTTTTTTTTTTTTTTTTGGTTTTTCGAGACAGGGTTTCTCTGTAATGCTTTGGAGCCTGTCCTGGAACTAGCTCTGTAGACCATGCTGGCCTCAAACTCACAGAGATCTGTCTGTCTCTGTCTCCTAAGTGTTGGGATTAAAGGTATGCGCCACCAACGCTTGGCTTAGAATAATACAATTTTTGAGGATCCTAAAATGAGATAAAATGTTTAAACAGTGCCCAGTTATATTAATAAATGCTCAGTGAATTTTAGTCATAATCATCACTGTTAATTAACATCATTCGATGTTTAGTGACTGAAGAAGGCATTTTTCCTAGTCATTGTAAGTATACATTTTTAAGCTGCTCTTTTATCAGTACATGCCAAGGAACTATGCAGGTGTCTGTAGCACTGTTGGTGCCACTTAATGTTCTGTGTACATTAGTGCTAATTGCTGAATAATACTCTGAATTTGATGTTTTTGAGAGTTGATTTGTATGTAGCTCTTTATAGTTGTATGATTAATCTGTAAAGTATTTTAATTTTTTCTTTTAGGGGCCGGTTTATGGCATGAATAGGCTTCCACCCCAACAGCATATTTATGCCTATTCACAACAGATGCACACACCACCTGTGCAAAGTTCATCTGCTTGTATGTTCTCTCAGGAGATGTATGGTCCTCCCTTGCGTTTTGAGTCTCCTGCAACAGGAATTCTATCACCCAGGGGTGATGATTACTTTAATTATAATGTTCAACAGGCAAGCACAAATCCACCTTTGCCAGAACCAGGGTATTTCACAAAACCTCCACTTGTAGCTCATGCTTCAAGGTCAGCAGAATCAAAGGTTATGGAATTTGGAAAAACCAATTTTGTTCAGCCCATGCCAGGTGAAGTAATAAGGCCACCTTTGACAACACCAGCACATACAACACAGCCAACGCCTTTTAAATTTAACTCAAATTTCAAATCCAATGATGGTGACTTCACATTTTCATCACATGTTGTGACACAGCCTCCTTCAGCAGCTTATAGTAATAGTGAAAGTCTTTTGGGTCTTCTGACTTCAGATAAACCTTTGCAAGGAGATGGCTATAGTGGACCAAAACCAATTTCTAGTCAAATTATTGGATCTCGAAACACATTCAATTTTGGAAGCAAAAATGTGTCTGGAATGACACTTACAGAAAACACGAGCTCAAACCAGCAGAGGAATTCTGGTTTTCGCAGAAGTGATGATATGTTTACTTTTCATGGTCCAGGGAAATCTATATTTGCAACACCTGCTTCAGATCTGGCAAATAAGAGTTATGAAACAGATGGAGGAAGTGCTCATGGGGATGAGGATGATGACGGGCCTCACTTTGAGCCCGTGGTACCTCTTCCTGACAAGATAGAAGTAAAAACCGGTGAGGAAGATGAAGAAGAATTCTTTTGCAATCGTGCAAAGTTGTTCCGATTTGATGGTGAATCCAAAGAATGGAAAGAACGTGGTATAGGCAATGTAAAAATACTAAGGCATAAAACATCTGGTAAAATTCGCCTTTTGATGAGACGAGAGCAAGTATTAAAGATCTGTGCAAATCACTACATTAGCTCAGATATGAAACTGACACCAAATGCTGGCTCAGATAGATCTTTTGTATGGCATGCCCTTGACTATGCAGATGAGTTGCCAAAACCAGAACAGCTTGCAATTAGATTCAAAACTCCTGAGGAAGCAGCACTATTTAAGTGTAAATTTGAAGAGGCCCAGAACATTTTAAAAGCCTCAGGTACAAATGTGCCTACAGCACCAAATCATAGTATCAGAATCGTAAAAGAACCTGCAACTCATGACAACAAGGATATTTGCAAATCTGATGGTGGAAGCTTGAATTTTGAATTCCAGATTGTAAAGAAGGAAGGGTCTTGGTGGCATTGTAACAGCTGCTCATTTAAGAATGCTGCAGCTGCTAAGAAATGTGTGTCATGCCAAAATGTAAACTCGGCAAGTAATAAAGAGCTCCTAGGCCCACGGTTAGGTGAAAATGGCTTTGCTTCTAAGACAGGCCCAGAAAACACTCAAGATCAATTTGCATTGATGACTCCATGTAAGGAAGATCATTGGGATTGCAGTGTTTGTTTAGTAAGAAATGAACCCACTGTGTCTAGGTGCATTGCATGTCAGAACACAAAGTCTGCTAACAAAAATGGATCTTCTTTTGTTCAAACATCTTTCAAATTTGGGCTAGGAGAGCTTCCTAAGTCTGTTGACAGTGATTTCAGATCCGTTTTTTCTAAAAAGGAAGGACAGTGGGATTGCGATATATGCCTGGTCCGAAATGAAGGAAGTTCTACAAAATGTGTTGCTTGTCAGAACCCAGGAAAACAGGCTCTGTCTTCTGTTTCATCACCTGCCTCTTTTAAGGCAGATATAAGTAAAACTCCAAAGGGTGGATTTGAGGACATGTTTGCTAAGAAAGAAGGACAATGGGATTGTAGTTTGTGTTCAGTGAGAAATGAAGCAAATGCTATAAAATGTGTTGCTTGTTATAATCCTGTTAAACAAAGTCCATCTGCTGCCTCTTTCAAGTTTGGTACTTCAGAGATGAATAAGGCTCCCAGGAGTGGATTTGAGGGTATGCTCACCAAGAAGGAAGGACAGTGGGATTGCAGCCAGTGTTTAGTGCAAAATGAAGGAAGTGCTACTCAATGTATTACTTGTCAGAATCCAAATAAACAGAATCAGCCTACATCTGCTGTCCCAGCATCTGCCTCTTCAGAGACAAGCAAATTTCCTAAGAATGGATTTGAAGGATTGTTTACCAAAAAGGAAGGACAGTGGGAGTGTAGTGTTTGCTCTGTAGAAAATGAGAGCTCTTCACCAAAATGTGTGGCTTGTGATTCCTCCAAGCCAACTCCTAAGTCTACTGTAGAAGCTCCCTCAGCTTTCACAGCAGGCTCAAAATCACAGTTAAATGAATGTGCAGGAAGTCAAGTGGGGACAGAATTTAAAAGTAACTTTCCAGAAAAAAATTTTAAATTTGGCATTACAGAGCAGAAATTTAAATTTGGACTTGTGGATCAAGAAAAAACACCTTCCTTTGCGTTTCAGGGTTCTAATACAGAATTTAAGTCAATCAAGGATGGATTTAGTTTTTCCATTCCTGTATCTGCTGATGGGTTTAAATTTGGCATTCCAGAGAAGGGAAATCAAGAGAAGAAGAATGAAAAACATCTTGAAAATGATACTGGTTTCCAAGCTCATGATGTTAGTGATCAGAAGAATGGTAGTAGTGTGATCTTTGGTCAGTCAAGCAGCACTTTCACCTTTGCAGATCTTGCAAAGTCAACTGCAAGAGAAGGATTTCAGTTTGGCAAGAAAGACCCCAATTTCAAGGGATTTTCAGGTGCAGGAGAAAAATTATTCTCATCACAAAGTGGCAAAGTGACTGAGAAAGCCAATACGTCTTCTGATCTCGAGAAAGATGATGATGCCTATAAAACTGAGGATAGTGATGACATCCATTTTGAGCCAGTGGTGCAGATGCCTGAAAAAGTAGAGCTTGTGACAGGAGAAGAAGATGAAAAAGTTTTGTATTCACAGAGGGTGAAATTATTTAGATTTGATGCCGAGATAAGTCAGTGGAAAGAAAGAGGTTTGGGGAACTTAAAAATTCTCAAAAATGAAGTCAATGGTAAACTAAGAATGCTGATGCGAAGAGAGCAAGTGCTAAAAGTCTGTGCCAATCATTGGATAACCACTACAATGAACCTGAAGCCTCTCTCAGGGTCAGACAGAGCATGGATGTGGCTAGCTAGTGATTTTTCAGATGGTGATGCCAAACTGGAACAGCTGGCTGCAAAGTTTAAAACACCAGAGCTAGCTGAAGAATTCAAGCAGAAATTTGAGGAGTGTCAGCGACTTCTCTTAGATATTCCCCTTCAGACACCCCATAAACTTGTAGATACTGGCAGGGCTGCTAAGTTAATACAGAGAGCTGAGGAGATGAAGAGTGGACTGAAAGATTTCAAAACGTTTTTGACAAATGATCAAGTAAAGGTCACTGATGAAGAGAACATAAGTTCAGGTGCGGATGCTTCCAGTGCTTCAGACACAACAGTGAAGCAAAATCCTGAAAACACTGGGCCTACCTTAGAATGGGATAACTATGACTTACGGGAAGATGCCTTGGATGACAGCATCAGCAGCAGCTCAGTACATGCTTCTCCATTGGCAAGTAGCCCTGTTCGGAAAAACCTTTTCCGCTTTGGTGAGTCAACTACAGGATTTAATTTCAGTTTTAAATCTGCCTTGAGTCCATCTAAGTCTCCTGCTAAGTTGAATCAGAGTGGAACTTCAGTTGGCACTGATGAAGAATCTGATGTTACTCAAGAAGAAGAGAGAGATGGACAGTACTTTGAGCCTGTTGTACCCTTACCTGATCTAGTTGAAGTATCCAGTGGTGAAGAAAATGAACAAGTTGTTTTTAGTCACAGAGCAAAACTCTATAGATATGATAAAGATGTTGGTCAATGGAAAGAAAGAGGCATTGGTGATATAAAGATTTTACAGAATTATGATAATAAGCAAGTTCGAATAGTTATGAGAAGGGACCAAGTATTAAAACTTTGTGCCAATCACAGAATAACTCCAGATATGACTTTGCAAAATATGAAAGGGACGGAAAGAGTGTGGGTATGGACTGCATGTGATTTTGCAGATGGAGAAAGAAAAATAGAACATTTAGCTGTTCGTTTTAAACTACAGGATGTTGCAGATTCATTTAAGAAAGTTTTTGATGAAGCAAAAACAGCCCAAGAAAAAGATTCTTTGATAACCCCTCATATTTCTCATTTGAGCACTCCTAGAGAGTCACCATGTGGCAAAATCGCTGTAGCTGTATTAGAAGAAACCACAAAAGAAAGGACAGATTTAACTCAGGGAGATGAGGAAATAGATGCAACTTCAGAAGCCGGAGAAACATCTAGCACTTCTGAAACAACACCAAAAGCAGTGGTTTCTCCTCCAAAGTTTGTATTTGGCTCAGAGTCTGTTAAAAGCATTTTTAGTAGTGAAAAATCAAAGCCATTTGCATTTGGTAATAGTTCAGCTACTGGATCTTTGTTTGGATTTAGTTTTAATGCACCTTTAAAAAACAGCAACAGTGAAGTTACTTCAGAAGTTCAGAGTGGATCTGAAGGAAAAATAGAACCTGCCAAGTGTGAACCACAGGCTAACATCAGACAGTCTTCAGATGGCAAAGACAGAAATGTCATTGCCTGTCCAAAGGAGGAGTCTTTACCAGGTTACACATTTAAAGCACCAGAAAAGGGTAAGTCTTTAGAGTTAATAAGATTTTTTTAAGTGTGTGTCTTTAGTGCTTTATAAGAAAGTAATATTTTACTCAAAGTTGTATCATAAACACTAGTTAGTGAACATTCAAGTTTAATCCCTAACTAACAAGTTTAATCTCTAAGTTTGAGTATTCAAACTAACAAACTGGAGAGATCATAAAGCAGAGCCAAAGAACCAACTGTAGTGCAAGACTCGTGTACCTGATTCCTGAGTATTTGAGTCTTTTAAATGTTGATTCCTCAGTGTTTCGTTTTAAAATCATTTGAAGCTTGTGTTAATGAGATGTTACATGTGTGTTAAATGAGTTAGTATTACCACCTCTTACTAAATTAGCAAAGAAAGACTTGGGAATAAATGAATATGTAAGACAGCAAGATTGGTATAAATTGAGGGCTCTGACTTATATTTTAAGAGTCATTCATTTTGTTTCATAAGATGTTAAAAAATAAAATATTCTTTATTTTTCTAGGATTTAATTTTAGCCTATTTAAATCTAATCCAATGGCCTTTTGGACCAGCATCCCTACCTCACAACCTGAGTGCAAAGGTATAGAGCCAGCATTCTCAGTGTGAGGTAGTCCTTATCCAAGTAGTTTTGGCTGTCTGAATTAAAGAACTTAACACTGCAGTGTGCATGCTAAAGAATGCCATTTTACAAAACATACTTTCTGAGTAGTGGTGTAACAAACAGCTTTTAATGTTTTTTAAAAAAATTTTCCTAGGTGTTATCTATGTGCTTTTGTGCTCTCTTTGCTTCATTTTCTATTTTGTTTAATGTCTGTCCATCTGTCTCTGCTTCGTTGTACTTTATTCTTTTCAATTCATTTTAATGAAGACCTGTTTTTCTGATCTTTGACTTTGGCCACTACTATCTGCAAGTATTCAGATATGATGGCAGTGGAATGTTTGTAAAACATGTCTCTTTAGAATTTAGAAACTATATTTGAAAGTAGACCTTACTTTTATAAATACTATTCTGTAACTTGTGTTCCTTATGTAGTGAATCGTTTATAGAAATTTGTTGCTTCTTAACTAGACATTAAGTATTTAGAATTTATAGAATCCCATTAAGAACAAATGAGGGAAATGTGTCCAGTAAACCATCTTGACCTTGCAGGAGGGTAGGTACCAGTTCTCTATAGTAATACCATCCAGTAGAAATAAAGTATGATCTGTGTGTCTGAATTTTTGTGTGCAGCATAGAAAGTGAAACACTAAAAGAAATTGGTGGCATAAAAGAAGACCAATTTTAATGATCTATTCAATTTAATACACACACACACACACACACACACACACACACAGTATTTCAGCTTTTAAAGAGGATTTTAAAAAAGGGCCAGTAGACTCCAGTGTGCATGTTCATACTTCTAGGACATGTTAGTTTGGTTTAGCCACCTTTCAAGTGTTAGGAAGTCAGTTACACGGGAGGAGGCTACCATGTTGGACATAGTGGTTTTAGAGAATGTTTCCCTCATAGTAGCTGGTACACACATGGCACTGGTTTATCAGTTCCTACAAGCTAAAGATTCTTACTATATCAGAACAGACCTCAGGTATAGGGTTCTTTCCCCCCCCCTCTAAATTTTTGTTCTTTCATGAGGTAGGAGTAGATAGGGTTGTTTTTAGCCACAGAAATTGTCTTGATAGGTAAAGTATGATTATAGAATGATTAATTTTTACCTAATTTCACACTTGAAAATACGTAAAAATGGATACAATGCTATATCACCTAAAGTTGTTTGCTATAAAGATTATAGGAACTGATGAAGGTTGACTCTGGGTATACTAATTTTATGTTGGATAATCCTGGAGATGCAACTGAAAAAAGTTTCAGTTGTAAATGCATTTCCTGAATTTCTGTTTAGTGTATGGAGTGTGATCATAGGAATACTTTTTGGATAACAGAAATAAGTAATTTCCAATGACTAGTAAAAGGATTTTTAAAAATTTTGTATTCTCTACGAGTTTTTAATAGAACACTAAACCAGGCTCCTAATTCTAATTCATGATCATTATAGCACTTAATTTGTTCCAAAGTATGTGTTCTATCAGTGTGCTGTTTTAACCTATGGATAAATTTCATGTTCTTTTGTTTTTAGTTTGGTTACCATATCTTAGCAGTTGTTTTGACTTGGTTACAGCACAAGAGAAGAGTAAACCTGAAGATCCTCCCTCAGATACTGATGTTCTCATTGTGTATGAGCTCACTCCCACTCCTGAGCAAAAAGCCCTTGCAGACAAACTATTGCTTCCTCCAACTTTCTTTTGTTACAAGAATAGGGCAGATTATGTTAGTGAAGAAGAGGAGGATGGTAAGTCTTTTGTTAACTGAAAATTACCCCTGGTGATCTTAGCAATTGGGAGTATAGTTTAATTATTTAAAACCTGACTTTTTGCCAGATATGGCAATGCCTCTAATCCTAGTACTTGATAGGCTCAGGTAGGATGTTTGAGTTTGTATTCATGGGGAGTTTCAGGCTAGTTAGGGTTATAGAAACTATATAGAAAGAAAATCTAAGCAGACTTTCAGAACTTAGACTACTACCCTTAGAAGTATGTATTTACCATATACACACACACACGTGTGTGTGTGTGTATGTGTATATATATATATATATATATATATATATATATATATATATACACATACACACACACACATATATATATATATATACATACATCTCAGTGGATGGAATACTCAGAAGATTGCCATTCATTAAAGAATCCCTTTAAAAAGATGCTTATTGGATGCCAGGCAGATACTTTGAGGAAATTGGAAATCATAATTCCAGAAGTAAATTCAAAGTAAAAGAGGGGGAAAGCTAGCTAACATCATCAAAGTCCCAGTGAGATCATTGGGCAGTGGCATAGAATGCTACGTTGTTGGGTGACTGAGGATTGGGAACTGTGCTGCAATGACAGACATTCAAAGATGAGAGGAGCACAATGGAAACTTAAACAGGAGGTGAAGGTCTGTGATTGGCAAAACTGAGTATTTCATAGATGTATAGTGAAAGAAAGTGTGAAGATTAAGTCTGGGTTTGTGCTAAGAAAACCTTGTACTTACTAAAATTCTCTTATTCAATATAATGAATCACATTTGAAGATGAAGATTTTGCAATGGCTGTCAAGAAACTTAATGGAAAACTCTATCTGCATGACTTAGAAAAATATAGACAATGGGAAGAAAATCTAGCAGGTATGTTTATACAATTTTGATGTCTTATGTTTTAAAGGTCCCTTTTAGTTTGATATCTGTAACTGCCTGTTTTGTTTATGTGCTAACTTACTGCTCATTTAAAAATGTTTAAAAAATAATACTAGTTGAAAAACCCTGATTAATTTTGATGGCAGTAGGCTAGCTTCATGAGCATTCATAATCCTTTTTATGGATATTTCTCAGTTGCATTGAAAACCTGCAGACTGGCAATTGGGCTGAATTTCTGATTGTATCTTTGCTTGTGTAACTTTTTCAGAAAATGACAAAGAATGTGTTATTGTTTGGGAAAAGAAGCCAACAGTTGAAGAGAGAGCAAAGGCAGACACTTTGAAGCTCCCCCCTACATTTTTCTGCGGAGTCTGCAGTGATACAGATGAGGACAATGGGAACGGAGAGGATTTTCAGTCAGAGCTTCAAAAAGTTCATGAAGCTCAGGTCAGACTGTCTCCATTGTTCTCCTTGCAGGTCTCTTGCCTCTGTTGATGGAATACCTTAAAATCTTATTATCAAGTGGTAATAACTGGCCTTGGCAAGCACAGATGTTAGATTTGTTTCTTCTTCTGTGGTGTTCCTTGACCCCTGAGATGGAAAATTTTTTTCCTCAAGACAGTGTTTCTCTGTGGCCTTGGAGCCTGTCTTGCAACTAGCTCTGTAGTCCAGGCTGGCCTCGAACTCACAGAGATCCACTTGCCTCTGCCTCTGCCTCCCAAGTGCTGGGAATGCACACCAATGCCCAGCTAGAAGGAATTTTATAGTGACTTCCTGTTTAGGACTGAGTGTTTCAAAGGCTCAGTTAGTTTTAACCTTAAGTGAGTAGTGAATGGTGTGCCATTTTACTGTCTTTGCTGAAGTGATACAGATTTTTTTCATTCAGTTTGTGGATGGTTCTGGCATCTCTAGGAAAGACTTCATTTGGTTATGGTATAGTTTTGTATCACTTTCTATTTGTGTAAATTTTGTTGCTACTGTAAGACCCTCAGAATGAGGAGTCTTCTAGTCTCGGTCGATACCCCAAGAACTCAATGTCCAGTCCAGTTGCTGCAACACGCAAGAGGCTTTAATGATCAGGAAATGTTTGTGCAAAGGGGCTCCTCCAGCACCATGCAGGCTAGAGAGCAGCCACCTCGCCCAGGCCCAGGTGTTTTTAAAGGCAAACCCACAAGCTTAGGGAGGGGGTGGGACCCTCTCTCTGTCCATTGAGTACGAGGCCGGAAGGTCTGCTATTAGGATCAACAGACCTTAGGGCCTCAGGGTGTGCTAATTAATTTTCTCTGGGCAAACCGGAGTTGCAGCTATCTCTTTGTTTCCTATGGACCCTATTCACCACCTGCTGACTCACAGGAAAGGAGGGGCAGTGTGAATTCTTGTTATCTTAGGGCCTTGTGAGAGGAAGTTAGCAAATTCCAAGGAACAGATATTGGTTAGCTTTCCAGGTCAGACCGTCCTTCATTTTCTTTATTTTTTGGTCTTTCACTACTTTTAAAATGAATGTTCCTTGGTAATAGTGTTGAGTTGTTTTCTGGTATTAACTTTAGCTTCCATATAAAAATAGTATTGGGGGCTAGATAGATGCAGTTCACTTAAAGCACCCATCCATGTCAGTCACCTGACACACTATACCACCAGGGTCCAGGATCCCAGTACCCTCTTCTGGCCTCTGTGGATATCTGAACTCACCTGTGCATAATCTCTCACACACATACAAGTAAAAATTAAAACTTAATACTGGACTGGGAATGGTGGCCCACATCTTTAGTTCCAGGTAGAAGCAGGTGGATCTTTGAATTCCAGGCCAGTCAGGGCAACATAGTGAATCCCACTTTTAAAAAAAAAAAAGAAAGTTGGGGGGGAGGCGTTGGAGAGATGGCTCAGAGGTTAGGAACACTGGCTACTCTTCCTGAGTTCAATTCCCAGCAACCATGTGGTGCCTCACAACCATCTATAATGAGATCTGGTGCCCTCTTCTGGCCTGCAGGCAGACATGGAGACAGAACACTATATACATAATAAATAAACAAATACAACTTTAAAAAAAAAAAGTTAATGGTAGTATATGGTAATAAGATTGGGAAATACTTTTCTGTGTTTCTATTTTCTAAAAGAGATTTTTGTCTGATGTTTTCCTCTAAGCATTTGATAGTTCTAACTAAAGGACTAGGGTTTTCTTAAGATCTTGTAAAGAAATAAGTGAAAGGTTCTGTTTGAAATATCTGTTTAGGTTATTTGTATCTGTTAAATGAGTTCTAATTGTGCTTTTGAAGGAATTCTCAAATTCATAGAATTATAAACTTTAAAAAAAAATCAATTTTGGTATTGTAGACAGGACCTCACACTACCCTAACCCCTAGTGGTTTTTGTATTAAAAACAAACAACCCTGATTGAATAATATTTTTACTAGTGCTTAGACCATTTGACATTCACTTAATCAGTGAGGTGGATTGGGTCTAAGTTTACTGTTTATTTTTAGTAGTTTTCATTACTCTTAATTATTCTGCCTTTTCAGTGGTTATTGTAAAGATTAAAAAACACACACCAAACTTTATAAAAACTACTTACTATTTTTCTTTTTTTTTCCTTTTGGGTGGAGCAGGGGATGGTTTAATGTTACATTGTTTTGTTCTTTTCTCTTTGCAGAAATCCCAGAGTGAGAAAATAACTGATGCAGTTCGTAATGCACATACAGGTGATACTGAAGTGATAGACCCTTTTTTTTATAAGTCTGAAGAACCTAATTCTAGCACCAAATCTGGTAGCTTATCTCCTGTTTCTGGGACTATGGACAAGCCTGTAGATTTGTGTACTAGGAAAGAAACTGACACGGAAGTCCCAAGCCAAGGTAAAAGTTGGTCATGTGTTTACATTGTATAATATTTAAGATATTGCCTATATTCTCCACATTTTCAGAACTTAGCTGAAAATGTTTAAAATGAATATAGGAGCATAATGTATTTGTCACAGTAATCATACAGGTCATACTGCCTTCTTAATAAATAAAACAATAAATAATAACATTCTTATCACTTTATTTAATTATTATTTGCTTTTAAAGACAGGGTCTCTGTATAGCCCTTACAGAGACACTTGCCTTTACCTCCCACGTGCTAGGATTAAAGGTGTGCACTACCACATCTGTCTGGCCTGTGGTTTTAAGCTACAAAGCATGACTGTCTGTATAAAAGAAAATAATTTGCATGGTTATTTTCTTTGTGTTTAAGTTTTTACTTGACTATTGTTAAGTTATATTAGCATTACTCAAACATATCCACAATGCTTTAGTTATGAATTATTACAGTAGGAGCTTTAAATTTTTATGACACTAAAATATGTACAAGCCTCAAAACTTACTAATTTGTCAATTACAGTAATTACTATTTTTATTACTATATGTCTTAGTTTTTCTAAGTTGGAAGAAGTATCTTTGTGAATTGTATTTTTTTTTAATATCTGTACATTATCTATATTACCTGTTTTTGGTTTTTTTTTTTTTTTTTTTTTTTTTCCTTTCCCCCAGAAGTAGTCCCAACTTAGGTCACTAATTGTACATTTATGGGCACTTTAGAATCTTAAAATACAAAAAAAAAGTAACTTTACAACCAGGTTTTCAGATAAAATTAAGTAGGCCAAAGCAATTTCAGCTATCATGAAACTATACATTGGTGGAATTTATAGACAGGGCCTCTAAACTTTGGATGAGCAAATGTATGAGTGAATTTATGGTAAAGAAAACACAAAAAATTAGTTAATTGTCTATTGTTCTTGCAGAGGACTTGCGTTCATTTCCTAGAACCCATGGTAAGCATCTCGTCTATAAGTCAAGCCCAGAGAATCCAATTCCCTCATCTTGGCATTTTTTGGCAACCCATCCTGATGAATGTCTACCCACATACATAAACACATAATGAAAAACAATAAATTTAAAAAAAATGTTTAGTACAGATTTCTTTGAAGATCCTGCTTTTGCTTGTTTAAAGGTGGAAGAAACTTGACAAAGCAGAAACTATTTAGTCCCATAACTTAGTGTGGATGATAGCTCTACAAACAGCTCTGTGGTTTTTGAAGTGAATTCATGCTAATTGGGAACAGAACCTGTAAACTTAATGAATGTATTTTGTAATTTAAAATGTAGTGTGTAAAAAGAAAAATACTTGAAGGAGTTTTAGAAGAATAAATGCTAATTTTTAAAAATATGGTTTATACCATCTGCTCTCCTAGAGTCCAGAGTCCTCTTCCTTCTTTCTGGGTCCTGCATAAGGTTTTGATGTGGAGTCTTAAATAGGAAATTGTTTTTTCCTTTTTGCCAGGGGAAAGCAAGACTGTTTTGTTTGGATTTGGAAGTGGTACAGGACTGTCATTTGCAGACTTGGCTTCAAGTAATTCTGGGGATTTTGCTTTTGGTTCTAAAGGTAAGATCAAGAGGAAAGATATTAGTGATCATGTCAGCCAAATGTAACTGAAAAAGGGTAATACTTTCCATGTTGTGACTGTAAGTGGAGTAGCCCTGTCTTTGGTTTGCTTAGTGTTTCAGTAATTAGGACTTACATACTGTATTACTAATAATAGCTATGAGGATTTTCTCTTAATTTAAATCAGTGCCGTTAGCCCTTCCTTTCTTCATATACAGGTATGTTTTTCGGTTTTAGAATAACCCCGATTTAGACAACAGTTTCTTTAAATGTTTGTGTTCTTAAATTTTTTTGTTAGTATTTCAGGATTTGCGACTATATTTTTTAAGACAAGTTGGATCTCTGCATTAGGGTTGTGTTAATTTATTATGCTACAGTAAGTTATACATTAGTGTTTTTCCTCATCAGTGATGTTTATTCTTTAGGGTTTATTTATTTGCTGGATGTGGTGGTGCACATCTTTAATCCAGCACTCAGGAGGCAGAGGCAGGTAAATCTCTGAGTTCAAGGTCAACCTGATCTTCACATTGAGGTCAGGACAGCCAGGGCTGTCACACAGAGGAACCCTGCTTCAATAGAAGAAAAAGAAAAGGGGGGGGGGGGGCGGGGGAAAAAAAGGATTGATTTTTGTTTGTTTGTTTTGTTTTGTATGTGTGTGTTTTGCTTGCATGTATGACTTTTCACCACATGCATGAAGTGCCCTTGGACGGCAAATCCTGTAGAATTGGAATTACAAACAGATAACTGTATGCTGCTATGTGGGTGTTATTTGTTTCAAGTTTTGTTAGTATTGTATTTACTCATAAGATCTTTCATATTTAAATATGGTACCTTTTAAATTGTTGTATAAGATGTTTGGAGAAGAAAATTTGCTGAAGAATGCTAAAATAGGTCATGTATTTATACATTTTACAGGTCATGCTGTTAGTATTCAGGCATCTGTACTGGGGTTCTGACAGGATATGTTCTCAGCTACAGCCACTAAGAGCACCATCTGTGCATATTCCCTTTTAAAAGAGCCCTGCCCCCCCTCGTCCGTCCTCTGTCCTCTTTCCTGGTGCTCCAGGGACCTGGAGGCTGGTCTCCCTCCCCTTTCCCCCTTTTATGATCCCTTTCCTTGATTTAAAAAAAAAAAAAAAAAAAAAAAAAAAACCTCTGCTTGAACCCTGTTGCATGGCATCTTTCCTGTACACTGCTTTCTTAAATTACAACACATGGTACTTAAAGAAACACATTAAACTTCTAGAAATGATTGATAGGAATTTACATTAGAATTCATAGTTTTAGTTATGCTGAGTTGTTTTCCGAGATTAGTATGTGTCCTATGCTAGCTAGAATTCTGTGTGACCAGGTTTGCCTTGAACTGATTTGCCTGCACCTGCCTCTGCCTCCTGAGTGCTAGAACTAAAGGTAATCACCACTATGTCTGGCTACAGTTTTTTAAAAATAGTATTTTATCCTATAAACCTGCTACAATCAGTTGTGTTCCATAGTTGTTGAAATTGTCAGACTATTATTACTTTCAACATCTCAAATAGTTGTGCTTATGACATTTTTGAAAATTAGATATATTGAGGAAATAACTGGAAAGTAATCTACAAAATGTAAAAAAAAATTAAAGTTCACAGTTTAAATAGCTCAATTTATTTATTAGATAAAAATTTCCAGTGGGCCAATACTGGAGCAGCTGTGTTTGGAGCACAGTCAACAAGTAAAAGTGGTGAAGATGATGAGGGCAGTGATGAAGAAGTAGTTCATAATGAGGATATTCATTTTGAACCCATAGTCTCACTACCAGAGGTAAGTACCAAGGAGTAACCTAAGTGTAAAACTTTGCCCTGAGTTGGTTTTTCTTTTTAATACTGCTACCTAAATTTTTTCCCAGAACAGTTAAACATTAGATTTTCAGACTTTTAAAAAATGAATATTACTTATTTTATGTTTATGAGCCCTTTGTGCTATGTGTGTGCCTATTGTCTGCAGAGATCATACCCTCTGAGTGTGTCATATCCCCTTGGACTGGAGTTACATACAGATGGTTGTGAAGTGTCATATGGACGCTGGGGATTAAACACAGTTCCTCTGCAAGGGGAGCCAGTGTTACTAACTGCTGAGCTGTATCTCCAGCCTAGATTTTAAGTAGATATTGTTGTAGATTTTTTTCTTTCACATGTAATGCTGAGGATGTAAATCAGGGCCTTGCTCATGTTAGCAAGCATGTTACCACTCAAGTGTATACTCTACTTTGCCCTGAAGTTTTTATGGAAATGATGCTTGATAAATTGTTTATGCAGTTGTGAGAAATATTTTACTTTTTAGTTTTTTATTTGTGTATATATGTTTAGAGTGGGGTGGAGGGAGGGGGAAGATAGTGGGTATGCACATAAAATAGTGAGCATGAGAGAATACATAACATGCTATGGTATTATGTGGTGGTCAGGTTAGCTTTCCAGGGCTTGAACTCAGGTTGTCAGGGTTTTGTGGCAAGCATGTTTACTAACTGGCCATCTTGCTGAGCCATAAGCATTTTTATTATGCTATTAGAAGATCATGTTTGTCTTCATAAAATAATCTTAGGGACAAAATAGAGAAGAATGTTGTTTTAGGAAAGTAATTGTGTCTATTTTTAATCTCAGTAGTTATTATTACATTTTAAGAATCAGCACTGCTGTGGCTGGAGAGATCTGCTCAAGGGTAGAGTATGTACTATTCTTTTTTTGGTTCCCAGCATCTATGCCATGCATCTCATAGCCGTCAGTGGGGATCCAATGCCTTTGGCCTCTGTAGGCACCTGCATTCATGTGTTCTCACAGACACACAAAACAAAACAAAACACATCTTTAAAGAAATAATAAGAGTTGGAGAGATGGCTCAGTGGTTAATTCCTGGTACCTACATAGTAGCTAACAACTGCCTATAACTTTGCTTCCAGGAGACCTGGTATTCTCTTCTGGCCTCAGGGACAATGGATACATGCAGTGCATAGATACACATGAAGGAAAAATAGCCATATACATGGAATAAAAATGAGTGGTACAAAAACAGAAAGAATCAGTCCTTTTGGGTAGGGCATTGGTTTTTTTGAGGCAATATGTTGTTATATAGCACACTACCTGGCCTCAAACCTGTTGTAGTCTTCCTGCTTCTCAGGCTGTGGAATGCTAGGATTACTGCACATCCATGTAAAGAACCACATGCCCTAGGCTTGCTCTGAACTTCTGATTGTCTTGCTTCCACACCCCAACTGTTGAGATTACTGGTCTATACTGCCATGCTTGACAAGCAGCACTTTTGAAACCTCTTCTCACCTTTAAAGGCATTTTATTTTCACGAAGAGAAGTAAAATATTATGTAACAGAAGATAATAGTGATCTTTACTGCTTTACCAAGTCAGATATGTTACTAGTCTAGGGTATTGTTAGTTACCATGATACTACAAAACCTATTGGCATTGGTTAATGGAATTTGTTATAAACAGCTGTTATATAATAGTTATTCTTATCTGCTGTCATAGGTAGAAGTGAAATCTGGAGAAGAAGATGAAGAAATTTTATTCAAAGAGAGAGCCAAACTTTATAGATGGGATAGAGATGTCAATCAGTGGAAGGAGAGAGGTATCGGAGATATAAAGATTCTTTGGCATACAATGAAGAATTATTATCGGATCCTAATGAGAAGAGACCAGGTTTTTAAAGTGTGTGCAAACCATGTTATTACCAAAACCATGGAATTAAAACCTTTAAATGTTTCAAATAATGCTTTAGTGTGGACTGCCTCAGATTATGCCGGTGAGTTACTACCTTCAAATGCCTTTTAATTTTATTGACTTTCTGAAATCTAAAATATACATTCTTCGTAAGTTACTTTAATATTAATGCCCCCCTTTCCTCTTAATAGATGGAGAAGCAAAAATTGAACAGCTTGCAGTGAGATTTAAAACAAAAGAAATGACTGAGTGTTTTAAGAAAAAATTTGAAGAATGTCAACAAAATATATTGAAACTCCAAAATGGACAAGTATCCCTTGCAGAAGAGTTATCAAAGGAGACCAATCCTGTAGTATTCTTTGACATTTGTGCGGATGGTGAACCTCTAGGACGGATAATTATGGAATTATTTTCAAATGTTGTTCCTCAAACTGCTGAGAACTTCAGAGCTTTATGCACTGGAGAGAAGGGCTTTGGTTTCAAGAACTCTATTTTTCACCGAGTAGTTCCAGATTTTGTTTGCCAAGTAAGTGTCACTATACATACACCATGGTTAAATCTGGTAAGACTAGATCACATCAACTGGGTAAGGTTTCTCTTCTTGCCCTCATTCTCATTTTGGGAATTTTCAGCTTACAGCTAGCATTGAACTTGACACTCCTTTTTAAACATTCAGATGGAAAGGCTCTTAATTTCTAACATTTGCTACCTGCTAGAAACAGACTGAGGGAAAAACCTTGTCTTCCTCAAAACACGTATTTTAGTTTTCAAAATTGCTTTTAAAGAAATGGGGCATTTGTGATTTATTCTGTCATGATTTCTGTGTATTTTAATTTTTGAGTCAGTATTAATAGAAAGTGTTTGTTTGTTTGTTTCCAGGGGGGAGATATCACCAAACATGATGGAACAGGAGGACAGTCCATTTATGGAGATAAATTTAAAGATGAAAACTTTAATGTGAAGCACACTGGCCCTGGCTTGCTTTCCATGGCCAATCGGGGCCGGGATACCAACAATTCTCAGTTTTTTATAACACTGAAGAAAGCAGAACATTTGGACTTTAAACATGTAGTATTTGGGTTTGTTAAAGATGGCATGGATACTGTGAGAAAGATTGAATCGTTTGGTTCTCCTAAAGGGTCTGTTAGTCGAAGAATTAGTATCACAGAATGTGGACAGCTATAAAATAATTTCACAGCAAATTTTATCTATATAAACAGTCGAATTGATGCTCAATTGTTACAGACAATATGGTAATTATGTTCACCTTTTGAAAACAGACATTTCTAATGTATAAATGTAAAATTGTAGCTTATAGCTGTTGTCACTTTTTAATGCGTGATAATTGATCTTGCATGGTGTGAAATAAAAGTTTAAACACTGGTGTATTTCAGGTGTACTTGTGTTTATGTACTCCTGACATATCTGTATTAGAATGGATAATACTAATTTTGTTGAAAGCAATAGAGCTTCCCAGACTATTGAAGGAATATGATATATGCAATTTTATTTTAATTCCTGTTAAGATATTTGGACATCCTGCATGGTACTTACCATTGAATAAGGGGGACCACAACTCAGATAACAGATTTGAAATATATATATATATATATATATATATATATATATATATATATACACACACACGCACACACATATACATATATATATGGTAATCTTAACTATTCGTGTGCTCATTTATGTATAGACTCATTTATGAATGGATAGAACCACAGAAGATATGAGTTAACCAAAGTGCTCTTCTGTAATTTTTATGCTCCTGTATAGTTAAAAATTAACTTTTAAGTAGAATAATGTCTTTTCTTAAGATATATCATTCCCTTTTAAACACATTAATTTTTGCATTTTAAATAAGTTGATCATTTCCTTAACTAGCGCCTCCCCCCATCCTTTTCCCTTCTTCCTTTTTTCTTCTTTCCATTCACTTTTCTGTTACATGTCTTACTACCTCAGAAACTTCAGCTTGGTCCTGATGATAGAATGAATTTTTCTCTAGTTCTTGTGATAAAGTATGAATATTTTTAAAAGATCTATACCATGTTCTTTGGTTAAAGATTTGCTTTATATTAGATTGTTTCAGTACTTTTTTTCTGGTGAATTTTGTAGCAGAAATAAAGTGATAATTGATAACAGCCATGACATTTAAAACATTTATTACTTGTGCATCTAAGTTGTCTGTTCCTTCTCTGACTTGATGTAAAATGAGATCTGTTAAAGGCCAGCACTCTGAGCTTACACTTTGACATCAAAAGTTTGATAAACACTGGAAATGTACTTGGATTCAGTTTGTGTCAAATAGGCAAACTGTTAAAGGAACAGCTTGTTTTTACAGGCCTAGTTGGTGTAGAACCAAAAGGAATCTAATTAGACCATAAAATTCTCTATTTTCCAATCTTGAGTATTGAGTCCTTTCTATTTTCTTGTGTTTAACTATTAGAAGAGGTCAAGGAATGTTATGGCTATGTCATGAATTATGAAATAACAATACTTTAAAAAATACTCATTCCACAGCCAGGTACATGAAATAAACCTACCTCAAGTTGACCTTGTAAAGAGAACCATGCACATATAGTGGCTTTTTTAGAAACCTGTGTAATATAAACTCATGTAAAAGTATTGAAACTTCAGCTGAGAAGCTGATGCTATCATTTTAATCTAAGTAAATGGAAATGTCTTCTTTAAAAAATCATCTCCTGAAGTTCAGAATTACCTTGAACTTGCTTTGTAGCTCAGGCTGGACTTGAACTCTTCTTGGTCTCATTACCTCCATCAGGATTGCAGGCATGTGCCTATTATGAATGGCTGCAAATGCTTTTAAAGAGATATGTTACATTTAATATTCTTTTTCAAGCTGTTAGGGTTATTAAAGATCTTAAAAAATTTGACAAAAGGTGTTAAACTAACATTTCCAGGATTGGCATTAATAACAGATGTTTCCAACCTGTTGGGTTACCAAAGGTTGTGGGCCACCATTAGGGTTCTGAGAATGGAACCCAAGTCCTCTGGAAGCGCCGTCAAGCTCCAACAAAGAACATTTGATACATTTCAGAATGTATTTATTTTAATGGTATAAACTTAAAGATTTTTCTTTTTCAACTGGATAGATTTTCTATGTTCATTAAAATCTGCCCCTCCAAAAAAACCTCAACCCCAGAATAAACAGTTTAGATGGTATTTTATAGCAAAAGGTATTCTTTAAGGAATTTTTAATAGTTTGCTGTCTCCTTGCTAAAGTATAAGCTTTTGCAACGTTAAAAGTCATCTAAAGAATTTAGGGGTTGTTGGTCCACATGAGCACTTACTGGAAGTTCTCAGAAACTGAAATTGCACAAGTACGAGCTTGTAGGATATGGCTGACCTGTACTGTGTGCTGTTTTAGGGCTAGGGAAAGAAAGGTTTTGCTTTAAACCAAACATGTTTACAGAGCGTTTTTCTGACTTCATGAGGTCCGTCTCCTTATGTAGGCCAGGCTGGCCTCCTGCCTCCACCTTCCTTCCATTCCTAACCCAAATTTGTGTACTAGGCAAAGGAATTGAAAAGGTAACTTGCTGCAGTTCTTGTGCCTAGCATTCAGACATGTCCTGATTTTTCTGTGATAGTAACCACTTCGGATGAAGAGAAGTGTGTTTAGGCAAGTTCTATGCAAGGTAAATCTACCTTGTAGTCGGTCCCAGAGAGCACACTGTTCCTCAGGTGTGCAGAAGATACTCTTCCTCCTGTTACGCGCCTGTGCTGGCTAGGGAAGATGGAATGCGCGTCTTTTCTCTGCTCACTTCATTCACTGCGGGGTGGGAGTGGAGGTGTGGGGGAAGAGTTGGAACCGAAGGACAGGAAACTGAAGGGACAAAGAGGAACTGGGTTACAGCACGCCGTCCTCGCTCCCTTCTTCCCACGGGCTTCCAGCGTCCCTGGGGGCGGGGCTGGGCGTCGTGACGTACTGCCCGCCCTGACGCGGCTGTGAGCGCGGTTCCCCGGGTGACCGTGGTCAGCGACGCAACATGGAGCGCAGGGTGGTCAAGCCACCTGGGCAGGACATGGTAGTGGAGCGTCTCAAAAACCGCTACGGCCTGGCGGGAAGCTGCCCTGTCAAGGTGAGGGGGAGTGGAGCCCGGCCTGCCGGGCGGCTGCGGGAGGGCTCTGGCCAACCTCCCTCGGGCGGCTTGCTGGGGAGGGCCCTCCTTCAGGGCCCCAGGGCCTCCTTCACAGGACGTCCTGGTGGCAGGGATCGGAATGCAGCGTAGAAGACGGGCAAGCGTCTTACTCCGAAGTAATTGAAAACTTAGAAGTTGTAGCAATATGCATTCTTGTAACACTCCCTTGACCGCGCCATGGAGTCTTGGCTTATTTGCTGCGGGACCACCACCGAGGCAATTTGCTAATAATCTGTGAGAGGTTGACCAGATTGCATCTCCGATGAATGCTGGAAAAACCGAAGCGGGAAACCAATTGCAGTGCAGCCCTGCAGTTTCCACGAGGCTAATATTTTTTGGTTTTTGTTTTTAATTATTACATCTTCTTTGATAACAGTTGGGAGTTTACAGTTCAGCTGAGAAGCCCGCTTCACAACCTAGCAAATTCAAAGTTTTATAAAGCACAATATCAGAGGTACAGTTACATCATGTACTCTATTCTCCAGAAGTTGAGGAAGATTGCAGGCATTCCTGAGTTCCTTCCCACCTTTGCTATCTTTCCAGAATCCCTTCTTGAGAAATGTCACTATATCTCAGTGTTCCCATGCCCATGTCACAAATTCATTCTAGCCTCACATAACCTTAATTCAGATTGCAATACATTCTCCCCTGGTTTGTTTATCCTGTGAAGCACATTCTCAGAATTTTAAAGCCTCATTGATATTTTCCAGGCTATCTAGTATTGCCACAATAATGCAGGACAATGTATAGCTCATACTCAGATTTCACTAATTACCGCAATTAAGACCTTTTGTAGAAAGTTTTTTTCTGATGCAGATGCCACCTAGGTCTGAACATTGTATTCATTTGGTTGCCTCTGTTGCCTTTACTCTGTAAACATGCCCACACTTAGTTTCTTACATTAATGCTTTCACAAGGTCAAAGACTGTTGTGTATAGAATGTCTCTCAGTTTGAGTTTGATGGATTCTGGTTTGATTTTATTCTGGTTTTGTATTTTTGGCAGGAATATGACATGAATGGTGCATGGGTTTCTCTGATCAATCAACAGGTATATGATGTTGTGTGATGCTAATGTTGGTTAGGATGCAGCCCCTAGGTTTTTCCATACTAACCTTTGTAATTAACTTGTAATCTATGGAAAAATATGGCAAGGGAATATTTCTTAGTGTTTAAGTGTTTCTTTTTTATCCCCCTAGCATGAACTTTCAAATTTTGATCAGACTAAGTATAAAAGACTAACCTCCCCAGGTAAGTCAATAGAATATTTTGTATATTTGAATATTTTTCATTATATATGTATGTGTATGTATATTGGTTTTTCTAGACAGGGTTTCTCAGTGTTGTTTTGGAGCCTGTCCTGGAACTCGCTCTGTAGACCAGGCTGGCCTTGAACTCACAGAGATCTGCCTGCCTCTGCCTCCCAAGGGCTGAGATTAAAGACATGTGCCACTATGCCCAGCTAACAGTAAATGTTTTAAATAAAATCATAGAAGTACATTTCCCCAAGCTAAAGAAAGAGATGCTTATCAATATATAAGAAGCATCCAGAACACCAAATAGACAGAACCAGAAAAGAAACTTCCCATGATATATGATAATCAAAACACTAAATGTACAAAACAAAGGATATTAAAATCTGTAAGGGAAAAAGATCAAATCACATGTAAAGGCAGGGTCATTAGAATAACACCTCAGTGGAGACTCTGAAAGCCAGAAGGGCTTACAAATTCCAAGAGACACAGATGCCAGCCCACACTGCTATACTCAGCAAAACTATTAGTGACAGTTAATGGAGAAAGAAAAGCGTTACACAATAAAATCAAATTTAAGTAATTTCTATCTACCAATCAACTTGAAGGAAATCTTCAGTCTGAAGAAGTTAATTACTTCAGGGCAGACCCCATGTCCAGGAGTAGTTGGCAAATACAAAATAAACACAGTGGTATTTTTGTGGACTTTTTGTTTCATTTTGCTTTAAACATTTTTTCCCTTTTGTTAATTATTTATTGTGTGTGTTGTGGGTTTGTTTGTTTGTTTTTTGAAAAAGAAAAACCAAAGTTCATTGGGTATGGGGTATGGAAATAGGGAGGATCTGGGAGGTATTGGGGGAGGGGATATATCTTGTATAAAAAGTTTTCAATTAAAGAAACTAATGGTGGGCTACAGGATGGTTTGGTGGTGAAGAGTGCATACTGAATGGTAGAGAGATGGTTCA